ACTGAGATGGGCCTTAAAGCCTAGAGCGTAGGCTCAGGTGGAGTTGCTACAGGTGAGGGATTCACCTAACTCAGCAGATACTGCAGGCAGGCCTGATAGCAGCTGGATGGCTTGGCTTCCTGGCCTTACAGGGCACATTAAGATTCAATCATGAAATTCCAACAAAGGTAGTCAGTTACCATTCTTGTTGTGTTTATGCAAACATCAGAAGATGGATTAGTCTTGATTTGGCTTTTTGATAGCCATAAAGGAATTTTAAGAAGAAAAGTCCCATTTCAATAGAGATTGTTAAAAACTAAAATGGTTTCTTTCCCTTCCACCGGCTGTTGACTTTCGGCCCCTGCATCATCAGCAGGCTAGTTCATTTTGTCAAGGAGCAGGTAGGGATTGTGCAGATGATGGTTCTACACACCCAGTACAGGCCTCTAGCAGAGAAATGCAAACCGACCCATGATTGGGCCTGTAAGTCTCAAGACAAGGAGGGAATGATAGGGCGAGGGCTACACCCTCCATCTTACCCCGGATCCTCCATTTTGGGGCAGCAGCCATTAGCCATGTGCTCAGCAAGGAGCTTCTTCCCGGAAGCCCAAGCCTCTGCTAGCCACACTAGGATTTCTTTAAACTAACCAATGACAATCAAGGGAAGTGCGCACCACAGATACTACCACATCCTGTGTAACAAGACCCCAACTTGAGCCTGGCCAATCGGCAGGGCCCACAGTCCTCTCCTCCCCTTACTCCAACCCCCCTATAAAACCCCTCTCCCCACAGAGCTCACTCTCTCTCTGCCTCCTGCCGCTGCGTCGGTGAGTGTGGTGGACGGGGAGCTCGAGCTAGCTCGAATAAAGACTCTTTGCTTTTGCTTCGGACTCGGCTGGCTCCCTGGTGGTCTTTTGGGGATCGTGAAATCTGGGCATAACACTCAGCGCCTCCCTGGGAGTCGGGTCACCCATCACCCCGAATTCGTAAGCTCAGCATGTAGTTCATGAAAGAAACGTGTGGGGAGCTCCAGGTGCTTTTTCAGCGTCCCTTACCTGTCCTGACATCTCCCCCGAGGGCTGAGAACCTGACAATCTGGGGAGTGATTCCCGCTTATCATACAGTGAAGGCCGGCAGGGTGCCAGAGTGCAGAGCCCACAGGCAGATGCGTTATCAGGGTGTCAGGAGGGTGCAGCTGGGCTGATGAACAATCTGGAGTGGTAGGCAACACCCAAATCACTGGCCTCAAGGGCGGGCGCGGGCGGGTTCTCCTGTGAAGGCCTGGCATTTTGTAAGGCTCCTTTCCTGCCTTCCCGTCAGGAGTCTTCTTCCCTCCCAAGCCTTTCTCAAAACCGACAGAAAGGAGTTATTGACCGAAGAGTTTCATTATCAGAAGGAAGAGGAAAGGCTGAAAGATGACGCTACTTTTACCTCCCCCTTCTGGGTTACGGACTGTCTTCCTCAACGTGCTCTTCCTGAGATTTCGTTTAAGAAATTTCCTTAAATGGCATTTACTTCAGTGATTTTTACTTTAACCTGTAGTTAGTGTCAGGATTTAAATGAATCTGTGAAAACGTGTTAAATAAAGAAAATATATTAAATAGTAATGTACATAATTAAGGAGTCCCTAGAAACACTGTACGTTTTCCTTTTTTATTACATAAACAAACTCATTGCTGAAAATACCTCTTAAAAAATATACATCCTTGCCGAAACCGGTTTGGCTCAGTGGATGGAGCGTCGGCCTGCGGACTGAAGGGTCCCAGGTTCGATTCCGGTCAAGGGCATGTACCTGGGTGGCGGGCACATCCCCGGTGGGAGATGTGCAGGAGGCAGCTGATCAATGTTTCTCTCTCATCGATGTTTCTAACTCTCTATCTCCCTCCTTTCCTCTCTGTAAAAAATCAATAAAATATATTAAAAAAAAAAATACATCCTTGCCCTTACTGGTTTGCCCTCAGACTGAAGGGTCCCAGGTTGGATTCCAGTCAAGAGCATTTACCTCAGTTGCAGGCTTGATCCCCAGTCCTTGCCCAGGGCACATATGGGGGGCAACCAATTGATGTGTCTATCTCACATTAATGTTTCTCTCTGTCTCTCCCCCACCCTCCCACTCTCTCTAAAAACCAATGGAAAAATATCCTCGGGAGAGGATTAACAACATATTTATCATATGTATATCATTACCTCATGTTCCTTTCCACATCACCTTTTTCTATGCATATTTAAATTCTTTTGATAAAGATGGAGTCAAGGTCCATGTGAATTTATAAACTAATTTCTATTTAGCATTAAATTGGTAAACCTAAAAGCACAATCAGATGCATAATCTTTTTTTACTGTGATGATACGTATGTAACAAAATATCTATTTTAACTATTTTTAAGTGTAGAGTTTAGTGGCATTAAGTTCATTCACATTGTTGTCCAGCCATCACCACTGTCCATGTTCAGAACTTTTCATCTTCCCAAACTGAAACTCTATACTCATTGAACAATAACTCTGAATTCCTCCCTCTCCCAGCCCCTGGCAACCAACATTCTACTTCCTGTCTCTATAAATATGACTACTGTACTCTATTATTGACAAAAGGAACGTCCAAAACTGTAGAGAACTTCCCTGAGTTTATTTGAACCAAACTGACAACGTATGCCACGCAGCAAGATCTGAAATGCTCCAGAGAGTAACAGTTTTGCAGTTGTTGTTTTTAATCCTCACCTGAGGACATTTTTACTGATTTGAGAAACAGGAAACATCAATGGGAGAAACATCTGTTGGTCGCCTCCCATACACGCCTGGACTGGGCATGGAACCCACAACCTGGGTATGTACCCTGACCAGAAATGGATCCCACAGCCCTAGGGTGCACTGGATGACTCTGCAACCAACTGAGCCACAACAGCCAGACCTGCAGTTTCTTTTACGCATTTGAAATTGAGGAAAGTAAGGAAGATTGGAGAAAGATCGGTGGGGATAGGATTATAGGACAGTTAAGATTTTGTGCTCTCTTGAGGGTTAATACCCCCTTTGAGAGGTATTGCTTCTGGCATTCAAAGGTGTGTAAGCTAGGTACACGAGAACATGCACAGGGTGGGCTTAAAACCTTTCACCAAAGAAATTATAGGCCTCGGGCATGACTACCCACCTTGATCTGCACAGTTAGGGATTTTTGATCAGATCACCCTTTTTTCCCCCCTTCACACTGGGTACCTCATATAAGTGGGATTACGTAATATTTGTCCTTTTGTGCCTTGCTATTTCATTTAATGTAAAATTTTCTTTCTTTTTTTTAAATATATTCCACTGATTCTTCACAGAGAGGAAGGGAGAGAGACAGAGAGCCAGAAACATCGATGAGAGAGACACATCAATCAACTGCCTCCTGCACATCCCCCCCTGGGGATGTGCCCGCAACCAAGGCACATGCCCCTGACCGGAATCGAACCCGGGACCCCCTAGTCCGCAGGCCGACGCTCCATCCACCGAGCCAAACCGGTTTCGGCCTAATGTAATATCCTCAAAGTTCATCCATGGTGTAGCATGTGTCAGAATGTTCTTTTCTTAAAGGTGAATTCCACTGTATGAATGTACCATGTTTAGTGTAGAGAAACAAAAACTCATGCCTGAATAGACATGTGAGTTATGTCCACATTTTACTATTTTGAATAATGCTGCTGCAATCGACGGTGTAGTACAAACGTTTGAGGTCCTGTTTACAATTCTGTGTGTATGTGCCGGGAGCCGGTCCACACTTGCTGCTGCTGCTGCTGCAGGGAAGAAACATCTGCACAGCTTATGTTTCAAGGGACCTGGCGTATATGTTTGCTCCCCCTCTTAAGCACTATGTGTTTTAACCAGGGCCACCTCCCCGAGAAAGGTTGTTTCCCCAGGTTAGGGGTTAACAGGACCAGGAAGAGAATAAATCAGTAAATCCCCCTAGTGTTACTGAAATACCATGTATTACTTATGAAGAACTAGGACTAAGACTGTTGGCAATAAATTTGGGACTTGTTGGGCCCACATCCCCAGGGGTCTGCCCACCAGGGAAAGCACCAAAGCCTATATCCCTGGAGACCCACCGACACAGGGCAGTCCCAGGGAAGGCAAGCAGCGAGGCTGGGAGGACATAACCTTTACTGGGAGGATAAACTCCTTCAGTCACTTCCTTGTAGCCTATCAGTAGAGCAATAGAATAGTGACCTTGGAATGGCCCTTATAATGGAACACAGAGATTAACCTAGACAAGATTAAAATCAACAGAACTAGGTAGAGACATTATTATGGACATGAAACTAGGAACTGTAGAAGGTTTCCTGAAACATACCATGATGTATGCTTATGGGATCAAACAGTATAAATAAAGATGTAATAGGAGAATACAGAGAGAACCCAACCATGCTGACCAACTGAACGCTACCTCCATGTCATTCCTTCTTCGCCGACTCCGTCCACACCTTTGGGGAACCCCTGGACCTGGACCCCAGCATGTATGTACATATTAAAAAAATAGAATTGCTAGATATGATAATTCTATTTTTAATCTTTTTCTATGTTTTCCTCAGTGGCTGCACCATTTTACATTTCTACCAGCATTGCATGGAATTGCCATCTGATATGATTTGCAAACATTTTCTCAAATTCTGTGAGTTGCCTTTGTATTGTATTGGTAATGTCTTCTAATGCACAAATGTTTTTAAATTTCTTTTAAAAAAATATATTTTATTGATTTTTTACAGAGAAGAAAGGAAAGGGATAGAGAGTTAGAAACATCAATGAGAGAGACACCTCGATCAACTGCTTCCTGCACACCCCCTATTGGGGATGTGCCAGCAACCAAGGTACATGCCCTTGACCGGGATCGAACCTGGGGCCCTTCAGTCCGCAGGCCGACGCTCTATCCACTGAGCCAAACCGGTTCAGCATCAAATAAATTTTTATAAAAATTATCTACAGGTTTGGACACCTCCTATCTGTCCTGCATTTCTTACTTTCTTCAGCCTTACAAATCCTCAAGTGGACTTTTAGTCCGGGGACCACAGACAGAGCAGAGCTGTGCTCCCTGAGAGAACAACGGCGTCCACTCCAAGAACATCTGGAAGGTTTTCTCCATTCTGGCCAGAAACAGGACACCAGGGAGAGTCTCAAGAATAAGGACCCTGCCCTAACCGGTTTGGCTCAGTGGATAAAGCATCGGCCTGGGGACTGAAGGGTCCCAGGTTCGATTCTGGTCAAGGGCATGTTCCTTGGTTGCAGGCACATCCCCAGTGGGAGGTGTGCAGGAGGCAGCTGATCAATGTGTCTCTCTCACTGATGTTTCTAACTCCTTATCCCTCTACCTCTTTGTAAAAAATCAATAAAATAGATTAAAAAAAAAAAAAAAGAACAAGGACCCGTGGGCTATAAGAAAGGGCAGCGTTCACCTCCTAACAGTCCTTTGGGAGAAGCCTGGTCCTCCCTAAGGGGTTACCCTGACACAGAAATTTGAGCGTCAGGCTCAAGAAGGCCGATCTGAACCAAGGGAGCCTAGAGAACGAGAAGGAGCCTCCCGGTGCGACCCACAGCGTCTCTGTGCTGGGTGCCCCTGGGGTGGCTCGTTTGCTCCAGAGAACCTTCTGTCACTGAGCCCCGCACCCCAGGTTTAAGCACGGCTGAAGGGGACGGTTACACCCGGGAGACTTACTGAGTTTAATTTTATCAAGAATCTACTTCCAGATTCTCCCAGGTGTGGAACATTGACCCTGAGGAAGGTGAATGGAGCTGTTCCTTCTCGGTGCTAGGGTTGAGCAGCAGTTAAAATCTGTCCCTCAAGGAGCAGCCAGCAGCCACTTGATGTGTGGTTGGTTCAGTTTAGCTCATGGGACCTGGGCCATAATCCTCACATCCAGTGAGGACTAAAAATTCCAGACCATAGATCCAGATAGATCTCTGTTATTGGTCTCTCTGTCCTACACACACACACAGTCTCCGCCCTCCCTGCTCCCTAACAGTGGTTCAGACTGACCTTGGCCCACAGCAGGAGAGAGCTGACCTTGAACTAGGAACACTGGCGACATTACAGTGGCAAATGGAAAGTGTGTGCACACAAAGCCCTTACTCAGAGGTGGTGTCGTTACTAAGCCGTGGCTCAGGAGCCACTTTGTGAGCTGCCTGCTGTGTGACTCGGACAGCCTACTTCACCCCTGGCGGCTTCTGTAAAACGGTGGTAAAAATACCCCAAAACCCTGACTCACGGATGAAATGAGGCTTCACACGGCCACATTGTGCCCAGCTCCTGTCACACAGTTTGTGCTCAGTAAGTATTAGCAAAACCAGTTAGCAACTTTGTCATCATTCTAATTAAAAATCCATTTTGGGTTATTTTTTTCTCCAAGTTTCTGCTGTGTTCAGAGACAACAAGTTGAAAGGGCATATAAAGCTCAGTCACCCGTCCCTCACACAAACGCCCCCAGACCTCCCTCCTCCTGGAGAGAAGAATTACATAGAAACCCAAACTATAAAACTTTTGTTTTCAACCTCGGGCACCGATACGACAGCTTTGCGATATGATGCACAGGAAATGAGCCCCAGGCACAAGGCTTCAAAATTGATGTTGCTTAGGAAACTCTTGGAAGGTCTCTATTCTTATCTTAGCAACACTTAAGCCCCCCTGCTCTAAAGTGGGGTTCTGGAGAAAGAGCACCCAACTGCACACCTTCCTCTTGCTCATGGCGGTGTTTCTCCCTGGGGAAGGACAGGTAGCCCCGAAGTTCTGGGTGTGAATCACTGCTCACTGTGTCTGAGGAGGCAGGGGAAGGCAGCAAAGCCTGCTGCCCTGTCTTTGTGAGCAGAGGGACAACTGGGAAAACCACTGAGCTTTCAAAACCACTGAGCCACTCCGAGTGTGTGGGATGCTGATCCCACGTGAACCCAATTTGTTGCTCTGTCTTCCTAGATCAGTGGTTCTCAACCTTGGCTGCACATCAGAATCACCTGGGAATCTTTTTAAAATCCTGATTTCTGGGCCTCATCCTCCGGAAATTCTGTTTCTTTGTTACTAATGTTGTGGCCCCACCCCATAACAAAGAAACAGAATTTCCGGAGGATGAGGCCCAGAAATCAGGATTTTAAAAAGATTCCCAGGTGATTCTGATGTGCAGCCAAGGTTGAGAACCACTGTCCTAGAAGGAAGCATGGGGGAGGAGCCATTCTGGGGCCAACATTCGGTCTGTGCCCCCAACTTCAGTGAGGCCCTTTCCTTGCTGTTCTGGGGGCAGCTTGCAACTGCTGGGCAATAGCAGGACAGATACCAGGCCCAGGTCCGGGCTGGCCCACACCTCACAGCCACCAAGGCGCTGGAATCCAGTTGGCCCGGGACCCAGGGCCCATAAGCTCACCCTGGACCCTGACCCAGAGAGGGCAACCCCTAGCACCACTGCAGAGCCTCAGGCTGGGGTGAGGGTGCCTACCTGCCGGCTTGGAAGCCAGGGGCGAGGGAGGGAACCTGGTGGAGTTGGTGGAGGAGAGCCGGGGCCTGCGCCGTCGGAAGAAGCTCCTGAGCAGCCCGCACTTGAGTGACTCCACCAGCGTGGTTTTCCCCGAGCCCGAGTGGCCGAACAGCTTCAGTTTGATTCTGGGCTGCAGGTTCTGTGTGGGCCGCAGCTGCTGGATGAAGAGGCTTCGGTGCGTGTCCTAACAGATGACAGAGGGCCTGTTAGTCACCACCAAAGAGACGGCCCGAGCAGGCGGCAGTGCTGGTTCCCAGGGCTCCGCACCCCTGGCCGGGTCCTCCTGGCCGGCCATTCTCACCCATTTTGTCCTGTCCTCAATACATGTTTGCAAAACTCACGTAAAGTGCACGTAACATACAATTCACCACCGTAACCATTTCAAAGTGTACCATTCAGAGGCTTTAGGACATTCACCATGTCGTACAGCCAGCTGGTCTAATCAATCCTCGTTCTCTCAATTCCCTCGATCGCTCACTTCTCTCCTTCTCTCAATTTGCCTAAGAGCCGAGCCTAGTCCCAAAGTGCCCAGCCTCGTCCAGGAGGTTGGAGCCTGGCGTAGCCCCAAGGAGTGGAGTTGAGGCCTGAAGAGGTGGAGCTGGTCCCGAAATGGTGCGCCTACATCTGTAGCCCAACGTAGCCCCCACCCCGGAAGATCTGAGCCCGGACCAGAAGGGCAGAGCCAAGACCCTCAGAGCACCTGGCTCAGGTGGGTTGTTCCATGAAGAGGGGTGGTGTAAATGATTCAACTTAGGGACACCCCGTAAGAGCGGGCCCGAGGCAAGCGCCTTCCTTTCGGTCTCCGTGTGATCGCAGACCTGGCCAGACCACTTCCAGTTCTAAACCCTGGGAGGCGCTGACTGACTACCCGGCCAGTTAACTTTCCCCGCTGACAGCCAAGCAAGCTCATCTAACAGACTCAGGGCTCTCCCGAAGGCTACGAAGTTCCCACCTGTTTTCTATTGAAGTGTGATCCTTCTTTCTCCACGGGGCCACACTGCCCCCTGGTGGGCAGGTAAGCCACCTACAGAGACATTTTTAGCTCAGGTTGGGGGACGCTTCTGGCAGGGGGCCCAGGTGCCCAGATGTGTATGAACATGGTCCTGAGCAGGAAGAATTCTCCTGGGCTGATTTCTGAGTGTCTGCTGGGCATTTATATAGGAAACAAACCTGTTTATAATATCTGAGCTTAGGACTTACCTGCATCACTTTACATATGACCCAGAGGGTTTTTTAGGGGTGGCTGGAGAGGGGGCATGGTTTAATACAGACCGAGTTTTCCAAGAATGCAACTACTTTATAAATTGGTGGAAATGTGTGTGTATGTATAATTTTGATCTTTCATGAGCTCTGTCCTTGCATTTCTGAAAAGCATGCTCGCAGTGGCTGCAGCGTTTGAGTTGCCATCCCAGCCCGCGGATACCCTCGGGCGTCTGCAGGGTGATTCCGTGGGTGGATCAGAGTATCTGCCGATTTCACTACGTCCCCTCACGCCCTGTGTCCCTGACCTGGAATCCAACCCGCATCCTCTTGGTGCATGGGACAACGCTCAACCAACTGAGCCACACTGGCCAGGGCTCTATTCATCTTTTAAAATTCCCTGAGTAAGCACGTTGTTATCTGTGCCTGGCATTTCAGGAGGGTGAAGAAGGCATCACTAAATGTGGCTGCACAGTGCTGGACTGGCTGGGGCTGGAACCGCGGCTTGGACGGCGATGTGTAGAACATGAGGTTGTTCTTAACGCCGATTTCTTCCTCTGGCCTCAGAGTGCGGCGGAGGATAAAAAAGGCTGGGATTTGCCAGCAATTTCCTTGAATTATTATCCAAGTCAGCACGAAAGCTGAGAAGGTTCTATCCTGAGATAGTAACTGATCGGGGTGGCGCTGACCAGGCTGGGACAAGCGGGGTGTGGAGATCTCCTTGGTGCCGTCTGCTGTTGCAGATAAGCCCATGATGCCCCGAAGCAAGGCTACCTTCTCTCCTTTTAATTTAAGCTTCAAAACCAACCCTTAGATCTTCCCTTTAAATCAGCCGGCCCTGCGCCGTGTGGCAAGCATCTGAGTTGCAGTCGGTGTCCGTGGGCATCACCTCCCATTCTGAGCATCTCAGGGAGTTAGACTAGAAGGGTCTCTGCCTGTTTCGTGACACACAGCTTCCTAACACACAGGTTCTCTGTGTGGAGCCAGTTTCTGTCCTCCTGAGACAGGGAAGGCAGCAAACCTGCTCCGGCTCTCATCCAATCACTGGCCCCGGGTGCACCGAGCAACCAGTGAGCTCATGGCTCTTTTCTGTCTGTTTCCTGCCCTGTTGCCCTTGACACTTTGCCCAACATGTCTGTCCTGTGGGAAGGAATGGGGGCCTGTTCTTCTTGTCTGCATGAGTTTCACAGGCCCTTTCACTTGAACCATAGCCCCCTCCCCCCATAGTGAGGCTCTGGTGGGCTTCCAGAAGCCTCCCTGAACCAAGGCTTTGCTCTCCTTCGAATTTCACGCAGGGAGTTGGTGGCCGGAGGCAGCTGGCGATCTGCCTGCCTGTTTTCTGGACCAGCCACAGACACGGAGCCGAGAGGGAAAAGAGGCAGCTGGTGGGAAGTCTGTCTGTCCTACCTCCAGTACGGACCTCAGAGCCCTCAAGGTCTCGACCTTGGGCGGTGTCCTTGGCCCCTGGTTTTAGTAAGAATCCTGTTGGATTGGTTTAGTGACAATCCCTTCTCCTGAGTTGAATCTGATGAAATTGCTCACTCCCATCTGTGATGTCTGATCACCTGGCCTGCCCTCAGCGGGAATCCTGCTCAGTCTGCACTGTGACCTTTAAAACGTCCTATTCCCCTGCTTCTTCAACATCCCTGCAGCTGCCCAGGACCGCCAGTGTGATACGGTGGTCAGGGCCTCAAGTTCCTCTTCCTGCCCCCCTAACAGTGACATCCCTGATGCCTGTTTTGTGTACCTCACCCTGACCCCCAATAAAGGCCCTCGCCCCGGGTCTTCTCTGCCCTGTGACCTCCTCTTGACCCCTGTCTCTCTGGGACTAGTGAGTAGAAGAAACTTTGTTTTCTCCTGAGCCTCCCCTCTGCCTCCTTTAGGGGCCGCACCTGGCTGACTGTCTCATAGAAGAACCCAAAGCAAGAGCCCCTGGTTTTGATGTTTCCTCAGCAACTTCCCATCCATAGACCCCACCCTGCTCCTTGGCTAGTAATCTCTTCCTGTCCTTGTTGGAGTCAGAGCCTCTTTTCCTGTGCAAATGACTTGGATTGCTGGCCTGTGTGCCTCTCGGGTCCTCAGGGAGCTGAGGGAGCTTAGGGCAGTGGTTCTCAACCTTGGCTGCACATTAGAATCACCTGGGAATCTTTTTAAAATCCTGACTTCTGGGCCTCATCCTCCGGAAATTCTGTTTGTTACTAATGTTGTGGCCCTACCCCATAACAAACTGTTCCCTGCCCTCTCCTGTAGCTCTCGGCCTCCTGTAGGACCTGCCCCGCGCCCCAGGTCTAAGCGCCGGCTGAAGGGCTCGGTTACACCCGGGAGACTTACTGGTAATCTGGTCACCCTCAGTTTAATTTTATCAAGATTCTACTTCCAGATTCTCCCAGGTGTGGAAAATTGGCCCCAAGGAAGATGAGTGGAGCTGTTCCTTCTGAGAGCGAGGGTTGAGCAGCGATAAAATCACTTCGAGGGAACCCATAGGCCACTTGATGTGTGGCTGGTTCAGTTTAGCTCACGGACTCCTGGGCATAATCCTCACACCCAGTGAGATTTACAAAAATTCCAGATCATAGATCCAGAGAGATCTCTTTGTGTTCTCTCTCCCTCTCTCATACACGCAAGCATGCATGCAGTATCCCCTCCCACCCCAGCAACAATGGTTCCCCGACCTTAACCACAGCAGGAGAGACCTGGCTTCAAGAATGACATCATGAGCTGTGGGAGGAGCTGACCTTGAGCTAGAACAGCCGTGGGCAAACTACGGCCCAGGGGCCTGATCCGGCCCGTTTGAAATGAATAAAACTATTGAAATAAAAGACCGTACCCTTTTATGTAATGATGTTTACTCTGAATTTATATTAGTTCACACCAACACTCCATCCATGCTTTTGTTCCGGCCCTCCGGTCCAGTTTAAGAACCCATTGTGGCCCTCGAGTCAAAAAGTTTGCCCACCCCTGGGCTAGAAGCACTGGCCTGGCTCATACACAGGGGCTGAACATCATTAAATCTGGAAAACTAATGGCTTTAGAGAAAGTACAGCCCTTCTTATATATATACACATATCCTCAAACTGAGCCAAAACGACAGTGGAAGATGAAAAACATTGTGCATGAAAATGTTCTTACTCCGACAGAGTTAAGTATCATTAAAAGATAAATACCATATTATCTCACTCTTATGTGGCATCCAATAGACAAATTTAACTGACACAAAACAGAACCGGAGGGAAGGGGTGGGAGTAGGGAACTGGCCAACGGACGCAGACAACAGGATGGTGAAGGCCAGGGGAGGGGAGGCGGGGGCTGGGTGGTGGTGGGCAAAGAGGGGTAGGATGGGGGACATCTGCAATACTGCCAAAACAATAAATAAATGAGCACGATGCATGCCTCACAAGGCAGACACTTCATGAACTGCCAGCTGACAAGCACTCTTGGCAATCCACCAGGTCCGGTCCTCCTTTGTCTGCAGGTAGCCAGGGGGTCTTCACTAGCAGGTGGGGAAGATGCAGCAAAAACTGTGACATTCATCCTGTAACGCAGCTGGGTTATAATTATCTTGGGTCAAATAATGATGATTTCTAAGGCCCCTTTTTAATCTAGCAATCCTACATGTGTGTGCTCAACTTCTCTAAAATGTGAATTTTTTCCTTATGAAAATAATTGCCCTTGCCCTGGCTGTTATGTCTAAGTGGTTAGAGCATCTCCCCGAGGACTGGAGGGTCATGGGTTCAATTCCCAGTCAGGTGCACATACTTGGGTTGCAGGTTGATCTTGGCCCCCAAAGGACATGCACGGGAGGCAACCAATCCATTTCTCTCACATTGACGTTTTTCTCTCTCCTTCCCTCCCACCCCTCCTCTCTAAAAATCAAGCAGAAAAATATCCTCAGATGGATTAACAAAAAACACAAAATTGACCTTTGTCCTTACATAGAGTTTGTCAAATTTTGCTCCATTCAAGGGTTGGGTCAGACACAGCCCATAGACAGCTGACATAAGATCTGCATATTTAGTATTTATAACTAGAGGACCCAGCAGGCCACCCAGCCATTGTCCTAATGGACCACAGGCACCTTCAGCTGTCTTTAGGGTCCAATTACATTTTTGTCTTTTGCAAGTAAATGTATTAAGAGCGAAAGGAACCCCACCTCTACATATAAAATAAAGTTTTAGCCCTGGCTGGGTGGCTCAACTGGTGGAGCATTGTCCCGTACACCAAAAGGTTTCAGGTTCAATCCCCAGTCGCAGCACGTACCAGAGGCAACTGATGCATGTTTCTCTCCCACACTGATGTTTCTTTCTCTCTCTACCCCTTCCTCTCTCTCTAACACATCCTTGGGCGAGGATTAAAAATAACAAAAATTAAGTTTTATTTTAAAAGGTAAAAATTTATACATCCTTATAAAAAAAGTGGTAACATTTTAACAAATATAAAACATCACAGAATGCAAATCACAGTTTGGAGCTCCAAGATTCAAGTGTTGTATCCCAGTAAGTAAAATGTGCTCAGTTTTAAGATAAAAATTCCTCCTCTGGATCTCCTGTTCTCCATCAAGGCTTTCTTTATCACATCATCTCACACAGTAGGATAGCTGGCCGCGGTGGCGATTCCACAGTGGTTGTTCCGGTCCTTGGCCATCTTTATGTAGCCATTCTGGCCCCAACCTTCACCCCAGCTGTAAAAGAGAGGGTTTTCCATTTTATACAAATAATCAAACACATTTACTTTTATGAACAACTACACCTGCTACTGAAGCAGTGCATGCACCAGAGAGGCCCAAACAGATTCAGGAAGAATCAGGAGAGGCGGTTCTAGTTCTTGGCTGAGCTCTAAGCCTGCACAGAACTTCTCTCCCCAAACCTTTCACAGAGCTGCAAAATTAGAGAAAAAAAGGAAACTGGTGGGGTCAGATGTGTTTCGAATTAAGAAAATTTTCAAATTTAGAAATGTAATGGCACAAAAACTATATCGATTCTCCGAGCTGAGGGAGAATCTTCACGTTATAATCACATTCGTATGCTGTGTTCCGTAAGTGGGATAAAGACTTCTGGAACTTTGGTAGAGGTCTTCATCCCACGTAAGGGACACACAGGCATACGAACGTGTGATCATGTCATTAAGTTTCGGCCCTTGCGGATTTTGCTCAGTGGTTAAGAGCATCAGCCCACGAGTTCCATCCTGGTCAAGGGCACGTGGGTGTGGAAGGCAACCAATCATTGTGTCTCTCACATATCAATATTTCTTTCTTTGTCTCTCCCCCTCCCTTACACTCTCTCTAAAAAATCAATGCAGCCCTAGCCAGTTTGGCTCAATGGATAGAGTGTCGGCCTGCAGACTGAAGGGTTCTGGGTTCGATTCTAGTCAAGGGCACATGCCTGGGTTGCAGGCTCAATCCCAGTAGGGGGCATGCAGGTGGCAGCCGATCAATGATTCTCTTCCATCACTGAATGATTCCCTTTCATCTATCTCTCTCCCGCTCTCCCTTCCTCTCAGAAATCAATAAAAATATTTTTAAAAATAAAATTTAAAAATCAATGCAAGAAAAAAAATCCTCCAGTGAGAACTACCAAAAAATAAACAGGACTATAGAAAAGAAAAAAAAAAAAAGACTTCTGGAATTTCAGAAGTGTGCTCAAGAGTTTGAAGACCTGTATCCAAATACTGATTCCAAAAATGTCTCCCTTTTCAAATGTAAGTATTTTTAGCAGTTTATACCTGTTCTTGACAATCCAATATGTATTGTTACTTGATTCTTCTCCTTCAAAGCCATAGCCAACCACCAGAACGCCATGATCTAGATCCACGCTGCTGCAGCGCCGCTCATAATAAATGCCTGGGAAAGTAACACTCGATATTGGGATGGGGACCTCCAAGAGCAGGTGACAGTAACCCCGCAGATCAAATACAGTAAGGAAGCATCTCAAAATCCAGCTAAATGACATAAAACCAAGTACGATTTGAAAACAAGATCTTTTTTTTTTTTTAAATCTAGGCTAGGGACTCATCTAATACTAGCAGGAATCTGAATTGGCACAATCTCTTTTGTAAACAATGGGTCAGTCAGGAGGCATAAAGACACTCTGGAAGCCTTCTCATTCTACTTTTAGGATGTCAGTCTTGGGAAATAGCACAAAACACAGAATTACTTGAGTCAAAGGATCTCTATAGCTTTGATTACAACAGTAAAATTCTTTGGAAAATTTTAAAGTCCTAACAATTGGAAAAAGGTAAAGTATATTAAGCTATACCAATCAAATTATGTAGCCACTTAAATATATTTACAAAGTGCTTAAAATCATGAGGATACAGCTCAAGTAATGTCAAATGGGAGCACCTGGGAAAGATATTGTGCGTGCACAATGAACAATGATAAATCCACACACCCAGAAAGTATGCAAACCAAAGAGTGAATCTTGCTTTAGGTCATGGTGGTTTTCCAGTTCTTCTGCCTAAATTTCTACACAGACAATGCTTACCATCTTCATAGAACTGGAAGCTAAGATGGCTTGCATCTATAGCCACCGAGATGGGTCCCACGGTTGCCACTGCCTTCATGAGGGCACTCTCCTGCCCAGGGACGTCCACGAAGCCGGTGTCATTGGCAACAGAGTCCTCGGGCCTGTATCTGCAGGGTCCAACCTTTAAAGGTCAAGGGGAAGAGATCTGGTTACTAATCCACCTCCCAGGAAGCATGAGTTTCAGGCAGGAGGTAGCTTCATGATTTCCAGGTTACGTCTGTGAAATGCTACTGGCTGTTTTGAAAATGAAAAACTAGCTGGTGTCTATTCATTGAGACACTTTCGGTCTATCTCTCCATAAAAAGTGTTTCACTATGAAGAAAAAGTGCTGTATTTAGAATGGTATGTATGTCTCCATGTAACACAGAAATAAGAACTGTGAACATCCCAAACAGAACTGTTCAAGGCTGATATATTTTGATGGAAGTTCTGATGGTTTACATATATATATATATATACTCTATAATCTAAAATATGAATTCTAAAAATAATTTTTTAAATATGAATTCTAAATATGGCATCTGTTTTCTCTAAGGTGTTCAACTTTCAAAAAGAATGACATAAAGGTAAGAGTTTTGCTTACCTTTGCTTGATATGGATAGGACTGCTCTGAGTCCAGGCCGCCGTTGGACTTCACATACTGGAAAGCATTATCCATGAGGCCACCATTGCAGCCCTTATTGCCTTGAGCCTGAGAGCAGTCCACAAGGTTCTGCTCACTCAGTGAGATAAGTCTGCCAGTTTTCCGGAACATCTGTCCCTCAAGGGCACCAGTTGCACTAAATGCCCAACAAGAACCACAGTGACCCTGAAAACAATATAGAAACTCTCAGTCTACAGAACAAATAGCAAGATTTTGACAACTTTGCCAACAATGTGTAAACTCTTAAAATTAGTGAAATACACATTGCCCCACAGTCTACCACAGCCATGACGCCAGCTCCTTTGTGGCTTTAACTCTTGGAGAGAGACCTGCTGAGTACTGTCATACCTGGTTCTTCACGGGAGTTCCACAGCCTTCTTTTCGCCAATCCACCATTTGGGGGATTTCAGCAATGTAAGGTTCCCGGAACACTCTCCTTTTCTTGCACATCTGGTTTTGATGGCCATTCATCACCTGCGTGAATTCTTCATTGGTCTTCAAAGAAAAAGAAGTAGAATGTTGTCAAGCAAGGGATTATTTCGGCATAGTACTGAGTGAGGAGAGGAAGCACAAGGTAAGCCTCCCAAGCCACACTCACCATGTCACCAAAAGCATTCATTGCCAAGGTGAAGCTCTGCCTCCCTAGGTTGTATTCTTGGTTGTGCAGGTCAATCATTTTCATATTCTTCTCCCACACTGTTCTCCTCCATCCTTCTTCATTCTAGAGGCAAACATAGAACCAACCTATCCTTTTGATTCCTATTGAAAACCAAGTCACCTTCACCAAGAGGATTTGCAGAAGAGAAACCATGGCCAGGAAAGGTTTCTACTTGTTCTCCAGCACGCATACACCAGGGAGGTTTGCCCATATTGTGCTCAGTAACAGGTGTCATGCAGTCATTGCCTTGGGAAGAGCCAGCCTCAAGAGCAGTGGTTCTCAGCCGAAACCAGTTTGGCTCAGTGGATAGAGCGTCGGCCTGCGGACTGAAAGGTCCCAGGTTCGATTCCGGTCAAGGGCATGTACCTGGGTTGCGGGCATATCCCCAGTAGGAGATATGCAGGAGGCAGCTGATCGATGTTTCTCTCTCATCGATGTTTCTAACTCTCGATCTCTCTCCCTTCCTCTCTGTAAAAAATCAATAAAATATATTAAAAAAAAAAAAAAAAAGAGAGCAGTGGTTCTCAACCTTCTGGCCCTTTAAATACAGTTCCTCATGTTGTGACCCAAGCATAAAATTATTTTCGTTGCTACTTCATAACTGTAATGTTGCTACTGTTATGAATCGTAATGTAAGTATCTGATATGCAGGATGATCTTGGGCGACCTCAGTGAAAGGGTCGTTCGACCGCCATAGGGGTCGGGGCCCACAAGTTGAGAACCACTGCTCAAGATGCTACTGTCTGCCCTAGCTGGTTTGGCTCAGTGGATAGAGCATAGACCTGGGGACTGAAGGGTCCCAGGTTCAATTCCAGTCAAGGGGTTCATATTCCCAGGTTGCAGGCTCAATCCCCTATAGGGGATGTGCAGGAGGCAGCCAATCAATGATTCTCTCTCATCATTGATATTTCTCTCTCTCTCCCTTCCTCTCTGAAATTAACAAAAAATATTTTTTTCCTAAATATATTTTTATTGATGTTTTTACAGAGAGGAAGGGAGAGGGATAGAGTTAGAAAGATTAATGGGAGAAAATCGATCAGCTGCCTCCTGCACGCCCCCTACTGGGGATTGAGCCTGCAACCAAGGTACATGCCCTAGACCAGAATCCAACCCGGAATTAAACCCAGGACCTTTCCGTCCACAGCCCAGTACACAGCCCGACGCTCTATCCACTGAGTCAAACCAGTCAGGACAATAAAATTATATATATATATATATATATATGTATGTGTGTATATATATATATATATATATATATATATTTTTTTTTTTTTTTTTTTTTAAAGCTACTTTCTGCTATAAACTCCCAGAAGCCTGGACCATTCTCTGAGGGGTCCCTCTGGGTAATTTCAGATGTTACCAACCGAGCCATATAGCTTTCTGTGTGTTGCTTTCCACCGGTGCCACTGTGCCTCTAAACTTCCATCAAGTTTTGGAGCAGCTGAAGCTACTCCTAAGTAAAGGGCAATCAAGAAGAATGAAGGATTCATGCTTCAAAACCTAGGGAGGGAAAAGAAAGCAGTATCTGATTACACCAATCCTCCTAGAAAGCCATCCTACCTTCCTGAGAAGTTGCAGCCGCCGGGTGTAAAAAATGAATGTATCCTCCCAAGTATGTATCCCTCCCAAGGGCCGTGGAGGGAGGCTAAGCCTGTGGGTGGAGAAAAACAGCCCAGAGACCCCACTCCCGCACCGGCGCGGGGACAGACTCTCCCGACGCTCAGAGCACCGCTGGGGCCGGGCCTGGGGGCGGGGGGCGGGGGGTACGGCCCGCTCCCCGCTCCCCACAAGCCCACCCACCGCTGCCACGAGCGCACGGAGGTCAGGCTGCCTTGCCCGCCACGCCAGGACCCGGGACGGTGCCTCCTGGAACTCCCGAACCCTCCACCGCAAGGCTGGTTCCCGGGGCGGCCCAGCCGCGTCGGCCCGGCCCGCGACGCTCACCTTCGGGGCGCAGCCGAGCAGGTGCACTCAGCACGTGCGCGTCCAGGAGCTCCGAGGGCTGGGGCGCCGCGGCAGCGGATTTAAAGCCTCGGGAATTCGGCCCGAGCGGCCCGCCCCCACACGGCCTCCGGCGCCTCGATTGGCTGATGGGGCCTGTGGGCGGGGCCTGCGAGCGTGGAATTCCAGGCACCTGATTAGGTTCGCACCGAATCGCCCCAGGCAGATGCTAGGGACCGAGGTGTGGGCAGAGGCGAGAGAGGGCCCAGGGGCTGTGCTGGGGAGCTCAGCGCCTCCCTGGGAGCCGGGTCACCCATCACCCCGAATTCATGAGCTCAGCACGTGGTTCACGAAAGAAACGTGTGGGGAGCTCCAGGTGCTTTTTCAGCGTCCCTTGCCTGTCCTGACATCTCCCCGAGGGCTGAGGACCGGACAATCTGGCGAGTGATTCCCGCTGATCACACAGTGAAGGCCGGCAGGGTGCGAGAATGCAGAGCCCACGGGCAGATGCGTTATCAGAGTGTCAGGAGGGTGCAGCTGGGCTGTGGAAGAATCTGGAGTGGTAGGCAGCACCCAAATCACTGGCCTCAAGGGCGGGCGCGGGCGGGTTCTCCTGTGAAGGCCTGGCTTCTTGTAAGGCTCCTTTCCTGCCTTCCCGTCAGGAGTCTTCTTCCCTCCCAAGCCTTTCTCAAAACCGACAGAAAGGAGTTATTGACTGAAGAGTTTCATTATCAGAAGGAAGAGGAAAGGATGAAAGATGACGCTACTTTTACCTCCTCCTTCTGGGTTACGGACTGTCTTCCTCAACGTGCTTTTCCTGAGATTTCGTTTAAGAAATTTCCTTAAATGACATTTACTTCAGTGATTTTTACTTTAACCTGTAGTTAGTGTCAGGATTTAAATGAATCTGTGAAAACGTGTTAAATAAAGAAAATATATTAAGTGTTAATGTACATAATTAAGGAGTCCCTAGAAACACTGTACGTTTTCCTTTTTTATTACATAAACAAACTCATTGCTGAAAATACCTCTTAAAAAATATACATCCTGCCCGTAACCGGTTTGGCTCAGTGGACAGAGCGTCGGCCTGCGGACTGAAAGGTCCCAGGTTCGATTCCGGTCAAGGGCATGTACCTTGGTTGTGGGCACATCCCCAGTGGGGGGTGTGCAGGAGGCAGCTGATCGATATTTCTCTCTCATCGATATTTCTAACTCTCTATCCCTCTCCTTTCCTCTCTGTAAAAAATCAATAAAATATATTTTAAAAAAATATATACATCCTTGCCCTTGCCGGTTTGCCCTCAGACTGAAGGGTCCCAGGTTGGATTCCGGTCAAGAGCATGTACCTCAGTTGGAGGCTTGATCCCCAGTCCTCACCCAGGGCACATATGGGAGGCAACCAATTGATGTGTCTCTCTCACATCAATGTTTCTCTCTCTGTCTCTCCCCCTCCCTCCCACTCTCTAAAAATCAATGGAAAAATATCCCAGGAGAGGATTCACAACAACAAATATATATATCCTATATATATCATTACCTCATGTTCCTTTCCACATCACCTTTTTCTATGCATGTTTTAAATTCTTTTGATAAAGATGGAGTCAAGGTCCATGTGAATTTGTAAACTAATTTCTATTTAGCATTAAATTGGTAAACCTAAAAGCACAATCAGGTGCATAATGTTTTTTTACTGTGATGATATGTATGTAACAAAATATCTATTTTAACTATTTTTAAGTGTAGAGTTTAGTGGCATTAAGTTCATTCACATTGTTGTCCAGCCATCACCACTGTCCATGTTCAGAACTTTTCATCTTCCCAAACTGAAACTCTATACTCATTGAACAATAACTCTGCATTCCTCCCTCCCCCAGCCCCTGGCAACCAACATTCTACTTCCTGTCTCTATAAATATGACTACTGTACTCTATTATTGACAAAAGGAACGTCCAAAACTGTAGAGAACTTCCCTGAGTTTATTTGAACCAAACTGACAACGTATGCCACGCAGCAAGATCTGAAATGCTCCAGAGAGTAACAGTTTTGCAGTTGTTGTTTTTAATCCTCACCTGAGGACATTTTTATTGATTTGAGAAACAGGAAACATCAATGGGAGAAACATCTGTTGGTTGCCTCCCATACACGCCTGGACTGGGCATGGAACCCACAACCTGGGTATGTACCCTGACCAGAAATGGATCCCACAGCCCTAGGGTGCACTGGATGACTCTGCAACCAACTGAGCCACAACAGCCAGACCTGCAGTTTCTTTTACAAATTTGAAATTGAGGAAAGTAAGGAAGATTGGAGAAAGATCGGTGGGGATAGGATTACAGGACAGTTAAGATTTTGTGCTCTCCTGAGGGTTAATACCCTTTTGAGAGGTATTGCTTCTGGCATTCAAAGGTGTGTAAGCTAGGTACACGAGAACATGCACAGGGTGGGCTTAAAACCTTTCACCAAAGACATTATAGGCCTCGGGCATGACTACCCACCTTGATCTGCACAGTTAGGGATTTTTGATCAGATCACCCTTTTTTCCCCCCTTCACACTGGGTACCTCATATAAGTGGGATTACGTAATATTTGTCCTTTTGTGCCTTGCTATTTCATTTAATGTAATATTTTCAAACTTCATCCATGGTGTAGCATGTGTCAGAATTTTCTTTTCTTAAAGGTGAATTCCATTGTATGAATGCACCATGTTTAGTTTAGAGAAACAAAAACTCATGCCTGAATAGACATGTGAGTTATGTCCACATTTTACTATTTTGAATAATGCTGCTGCAATCGACGGTGTAGTACAAATGTTTGAGGTCCTGTTTACAATTCTGTGTGTATGTACATATTAAAAAATAGAATTGCTAGATATGATAATTCTATGTTTAATCTTTTTCTATGTTTTCCTCAGAGGCTGCACCATTTTACATTTCTACCAGCATTGCACGGGGTTGCCATCTGATATGATTTGCAAACATTTTTTCAAATTATGTGAGTTGCCTTTGCATTGTATTGGTAATGTCTTCTAATGCACAAGTGTTTTTTAATTTTTTTTAAAATTATATTTTATTGATTTTTTACAGAGAAGAAGAGAGAGGGATAGAGTTAGAAACATCGATGAGAGAGAAACATGGATCAACTGCCTCCTGCACACCCCCTACTGGGGATGTGCCCTTAACCAAGGTACATGCCCTTGATGAAACTGAACCTGGGATCCTTCAGTCCGCAGGCTGACGCTCTATCCACTGAGCAAAACCGGTTAGAGGGCAATATTTTTTAATTTCAATGAAGTTTCATTTGTCTATTTTTTCTTTGGTTGCTTGATGTCATATCAAAAAGATATTACTAGGTCCAATATTAATATCCAGTAAGTCGCTTCCTTTGTGTCCTCATCTAAGTTTTGTAGTTTTAGCTCTTACATTTGGGTCTCTGATGCATTTTGTGTTAATAATTTGCACATGGTATAAAGTAAGGTTACAACTTCATTCTCCTGTATGTGGATATCTAATATCAACATTTGTTGAAAAGGCCACCCTTTCCCTATTGAATGGTCCTGGCAACCCCATATCATTTTTAAAAATCAATTTATTAAAATTTTCATTTTAGCTCTGGCCATTTTGGCTTAGTGGATAGAGCATTGGCCTGTGGACTGATGGGTCCCGGGTTCGATTATGGTCTATGATACATGCTGGGGTTGCAGGCTCGATCCCCAGTGTGGGGCATACAGAAGGCAGGCGATCAATGATTCTCTTTCATCACTGATGTTTCTATCTCTCTCTCTCCCTCTCACTTCCTCTCTGAAATCAATAAAAATATATATTAAACATTTGTTTTAAGAACTTTGAGGAAATTGAAGCTCTTCTCTCTCAAACACAACTGGAGGCTGGAGCTATTTAGGTTACAAAAATATATTGTATTGTAAATAAAGTGGAGGTTTAAGAAACGCTTTTTATTACACCAAGGAATTCAACACAATCAAGAAGTCTAATATAGGGGTTTAAAGTTGCCCTGGAGCGCAGTGGAGGGTGGGAAAACCTGTGACCTTGTGAACGCCTGCACCTGAGGCAACAGCCTGTGCAGCAGGTGCTGCTCCAAAGAATGGCACACCCTTCGTTTTTTGGAATGTGATACAAATGCAGTGAAGAAATCATAGACTCCTTTCATAATAAATGGGCCCCAAATCTAAATTTTTAAAGTTTTTTATTGATTTGTTAGAGAGAGGGGAAGGGGGAAGGATATATAGAAAAATCAAGGAGAGAACATCAGTAGGCTACCTCTTGCACGCCCCCTACTGGGGATCAAGCCTTACCTCAGGCATGTGCCCTGACCAGGAATCCTCCTGTTTCCTGGGTCCATGCTCAACCACTGAGCCACACCAGCCAGGCCCAAATCTAAAACTTGACCAAGAATCATCTAATGCCAGAGAAATATTGGAGAAGGCCATTTAAGCAAAAATTGTAACATTTATTTTCACAAAACCTGTTAAATTATGTATTAAAGACTGCATTTTGTTCTTATCTCTACTCTTCTGTGCCAGTTTCTTTGTTAGATAATTCAGATGAGTGCTATTTATTCAAATGGCCACATTTTATATAAGTGACCAGTCCTTAGCTCTGCCTTTGATAAAATACAGCTGGCAGATTTCCCTTTTTTTTAAAAAAAAATGAAATCTCTGAGAAAGTTTATTTTTGTGTGCATCTGTCTAGATTTCTTTTACCCGCTAGAAAAACAGGATATAATTCTCTACCCCATCTCTGGAAGTTTTAAACCATAGGGAAATGAACAAATCTAGTGTGGTGGTATTCAAGATTCTGAAACCACTTAACACTTCTCCCCAATATAACAGTTCCTTCAATTGGTTTTAAGTCAATGAACCAAGACTTACTTTTATAAAGCATTCTCCGGACAGCTGTCCACTGGTTTTGTGGTGTGGATTCCAGATACAATGGCATGGGTTCAAATACCAAATACACCTCTGAGCACCTGGGTAAAGGGAACAATAGCAGCATCTACCTCCCAGGGTTGGTGGAGGAGGAATAAGAGAATTCACTGAAGTGCTTGAATAGTGTCTGTCCTGTGTAGGCAGCAGTGTAGCTACTGCATTATTTTTTTAGATATATTTTTATTGATTTCAGAGAGAAAGGGAAGAGATAGAAACATCCATGGTGAGAGAGAATCATTGATCAGCTGCCTCCTGCACACCCACTACTGGGGATGGAGCTCACAACCAGGGTATGTGCCCTGACCGGGAATTGAACTGTGATCTGGTTCATAGGTCGACACTCAACCACTGAGCAACACCGGCCAGGCTACTGCTGCGTTATTTTTAACCAGAGGTAACATTTTATGTAAAGGGTTCACTGGTGCTTATAAAGAATATGGGTGTAAGAAGAGTTTTGGCTTAAGAAACCTTTTGTTAAGTTTCTGTGTGTCTAAAGAAAAGTTTTCCAAACTCCTCTCTTGGTGAGAACAGGGGTAATCCCTCTCTAATATCCCCCTGAGGAGACTGCAGACACCCTGGGACTCATGGCGGCAGGAATACACCATCAGCACCCCAGAAAACCTCAAACCACGAATGAAAGTCCAAGTCCAGGTAAGCCAGCTAAAAGGGACCTTGTGTTTGTAATCAATCTTCTTAGGGGAAATCTGTGAGATTTGGAAAGGAACAAAATCACTTAGTAGGACTGCATTAGACTTAGGAATCCTACCAGCACCCTTTCACCTGCCCTCACAACATAGTAAGGAGGACACCTGTTGATTTAGTATGTATTTCTATTCACTGCAGAGTTTTCATCATTGTCATTCTTACCTTTCAGCTGTCTCCCATTTCTCCCTATCACAGCCCAGAGAATAGTGATGAAAGCTGGGGGAGAGAACATTACCTAAAAAACACCTCTTTATTATAAAAATGTGAAAAACGCTCTCCCCATCCCCAAGCCTCAGGCATTGATTAGCCCAGCTCCCTGGGCGTGGCAGGGACGAAGTGTCCAGCACCAAGGTCCCAAGGGGATTAGACGCCCAGGTAGAGAGGCAGCTGCTGAGGTCTGTGTCCCAGGGTGAGTGGCTGGGCCAGCTGCCTAAGGGACCTTTTTTTTTTTTTTAATATATTTTATTGATTCTTTACAGAGAGGAAGGGAGAGGGATAGAGAGTTATTAACATCGATGAGAGAGAAACATCAATCAGCTGCCTCCCGCACACTCCCTGCTGGGGATGTGCCCGAAACCAAGGTACATACCCTTGACCGGAATCGAACCTAGGACCCTTCAGCCCACAAGCCGACGCTCTATCCACTGAGCCAAACCGGTCAGGTAAGGGGCAACCTTAATGAAACCTCTGCTGACCCGAGACCCTTGTATCCACACAGAGCTTCCTGAGATGATGTAGAAAATATCATCACAACATCACTATATACTGCTGCCCTGAGAGGCTTTTTCTAATTCCCAGGCGCCCCTCGCCCCCATTGTGTATACCCTGCAGTGCTTTCCAGTGCAGATAAGCCTGCTGGGAATCTCGTTAAAATGTAACTTCTGAGTCAGCGGGCGTGGGCTAGGGCCTGAGACCCGCACGTTCCCAGGCGCCGCCGGTGCTGCCAGTGTGCGGACTGTACTTCGAGTGGCAGAGCTTCTCCTAGCAGAGCCCTCGCGCTTCCTTCCTCAGGGGTCCTTCTCTGCTGCTGTGTCATCGCAGCCGCTGGCCGGGAAGACCTGGCAGGCAATCACGAGATTTGACACTGACAGGAAGCTCACTGCCACATGGGATTATCCTCCCCTATGTGACCCTCAAGATGGCCCAGGAGGCCCTCGGTTCTTAGGTCTGCACCGGGAGCTGCATCCGGAGGGTGCGCAGCGCCACCAGCCAGCTGAGCGCCGGGTGCAGAACGCCCCCAGCCCCGACAGAGCACTAGAGTTCCTCCAAGCACAAACTCAGCAGTTTCTGCGTCCTCTAATTTTGTCAGTCTTTTTAGCTTCTTCTAGAATTTGGAAGTTAGAATGGTGGGAATGTCGGCGTGCCAGGAAGAACTGAGCTGGTCTTCAAAGTGATGCTGCATTTTCACGCTTAGGCTCGCACTGTTCAGATGAACAAATACGTCTTCTCATAAGGGGTCTCCTGTCCTCTTTTTTGCTCCTCTGTGTTCTCGGCTCAATGAGACCTTGCCCTGGAGGGTCACTCGCCTTTGCATATACAGCAGCGTTAACTGACAGGGTAGATAAGAACTTTTTAGGGCTTCAGACCACAGTGGTGGTAGCAATTCTCCCCTCTCCCGCGGCCCCTTGTGGACATTTTCTATTATGTGCCTTTTGATGAACTGACTTTAAAGATATGTGAAGTTTTCTTTTACTATTTTCAAAATTTCCCCCAGAAAAATCTTCATCTGTCAGTAAGAGAGCTTTGTTTGGAGGTGGTTTTGGAGAGAGACACAGAACATTTCTAATTTGAATACAATTAAACCTATTTTCAAGGAAAATTCTTTTACTTTGGAATTTAATTCTGTTGTGTGTGTGGCTATAGTTTTGGTATATTTAGAGCAGAGTGAACCTTAGACTGCAGCTTCCCGAAGCCCAGTTGACCTCCAATTTCTCCTGATTTTACAACCAATTAGATCAGTGCTATGCAGGTAAAATCCAAGTGTTGAGGAACCAACATGATCTCTGCCCTGTTTGGGAGCAGACACGAATGCAGCAGTAGCAGTCATGTAAGGATGTTGAGCTGATCATAATTTTTTGTTTTGTTTTGTTAATCCTCACTAGAGGATATTTTTTCCATTGATTTTTTAGAAAGTGGGAGGGGAGAGACACACACAGAGAGAAACATTGATGTGAGAGACAAATTGACTGGTTGCCTCCAGAATGTGCCCCGATTGAGCCTGCAACCCAGGTAACGTGTCCTTGACTGGAATGGAACCTGAGACCCTTCAGTCCTCAGGCCAATGCTCTAACCACTGAACTACCAGCTAGGCTGATCATAATTTTTTTTATGTCCTGTAGTTTATCTGTTCAGTTTCATCACTGAAGTTTTAGGTCATGTCTTAGTTGCTTCTAGCTACCACAACAAAGTACAGATCAGGCAGCTCAATCATCAAAACTTCATTTTCTTGCCCTAGCTGGTTTGGCTCAGTGGATAGAGAATTAGCCTGTGGACCAAAGGGTCCTGGGTTCGATTCCGGTCGAGGGCACATGCCCGGGTTTTGGGCTCGGTCACCAGTAGGAGGCATGCAGGAGGCAGCCAATCAATGATTCTCTCTCATCATTGATGTTTCTCTCTCTCTCTCCCTCTCCCTTCCTCTCTGAAATCAATAAAAATATATTTTAAAAAAACTTTGTTTTCTCATAGTTCTGGAGGCTAGAAGACCAAGATCAAGGTTTCAGCCAATTAATTTTCTGGTGAGAGATCTCTCCCTGGCATGCCGATGGCTACCTCTTCACTGTGTCCTCACATGGCCTTTCCTCAGTGCATACATCCAGAGGGGGAACGAACTGGCTCTCTGGTGTCTCCTCTAATAAGGGCACTAATCTTATTGAATCAAGGCCCCACCAATATTATCTCATTTAACCTTAATTACTTCCATAGGGGTCCCATCTCCAAAGAGGCACACTGAGGCTTTCACATATGAATTTGCAGTAGGTGGGGACATGAATATTCAGACCATAACAGAGTACCTTATAGATTACAAGTTAATCTCCTTGTAATAAATTTTAAATCTCAATTTTAGCACTCAGGGGATATGGCCTGGTCATCAGAACACCCAGGATTGAGTCTTATCTTCACCTCTTCCCAGATGAGAGATAAGACAGGTGTCTCTGAGGTCCTGGGATCTAGCTTGTGTTCATGAATAACAATTACAAAAAAAACAAACAAACCCACAAACAAAACAAACAAACCACAAACCCTGTTGTACAAAAACAGCCTGTGAACCTCAAATTAGGACCAGCCCTGTCATAAAGACGCTAAGAACGGCTGAGAAAACAGACCTCTGCCTACTTAGCTCTCCATCATTGAGCATCTGGGAGCTGTCTAGCTCCTGGATTTGGAGGTTACAGGGTAACAGATTCTTGTGGTTATGACTTCTGGAATGGGGTCCCCACACTTCTGGATTCTCCTCCTCTACCCCCAAACACACCTTCTATCCTGTTCTTGGCCAGTGTCACATCCTTGCCCACTCCAAGGCTACACAAATATCCCCTTTTACTAGTACTGGGTTTCTCAAGAAGGCACTGACCTCTTACTCTCCAAATTACGTGTGCTGCACCTGCCGGTCCCCATCCTCTTTCTCTGATTCCCATCTTCTTTGTTCTTCAAGGCTTCTAAAGCCATCACTGCCTGAATCCCTCCTAAGGAAACAAGCCTTCTTTGGTGTGCACAGTGAGTTAACTGACAAATGTATTTAATGCAGCAAATGAGCACATGTATCTTTGGCTAAGGGACAGCCTTCATGTAGGTGGAGAGTAATCTAGGAAGCGAATATATTAGTCACGACTCTCTTTGTTATGGCGGTAGAAGCACAACTCTGGCTTAAGAGAATAATAATAATGATAATAATGATAATAATAATAATAATAATAATAATAATAATAATAATTAGATTTATAGAACTTGAAAATCAGGGGTGGCCATGGCCACAGGATTGGATATAGTGGTTCAAACTCAGGTTATCTCCCTATCATTCCCCCTCTCATCTGACCTTCCATTTGCAACGGCTTCATTCTTCTGGGCCACTCCAGCTGCCAGGGGACATGGCCACCAGCAGTTCTAGGATAACAGTTAATGATTTGTGACCTTAGAGATTTGTCTCCCAGTATTTCCTAGTCTAAAAATATGGGAGTTTCCTAGTCACTTAAATGAAGAACCTTATTTTGGCATAGTTTCCCTGCCAGGGTTATGTTAGGACAGTGTGGTTACCCGGCAGGACTATATAGGAACAATGTAGAGTTAACTTTTTCCCCCTGTTAATTCTCACCCAAGAATACTTTTCCATCAACTTTTAGAGAGAGTGGAAGGGAGGGAAAGAGACAGAGAGTGAAAAACATAGGTATGAGAGAGACACATCAATTGGTTGCCTCCTGCACATGCACAGGGCCAAGGATCTCTAGCCTGCAACTGAGGTACGTGCCCTTGACCTTCAGTCTGAGGGCCGACGCTCTATCCACCGAGCCAAACCAGCCAGGGCCAGAGTTACTTCTTGAAAACAGTAACGAAGGTTCCACTAGCTGCCTTCTTAGAAAGTTGTTAAACGTCATGACCACAAACAGAATTTAATGTCCAAGTCATTTTTGTTCACCCAGACAGCCAAATTACCATGAACAAGGATTATATAATTATAGCTGATATTTTTAACGGTTTCAATAATTTGTGTCCCAAGTTCTAAGGCCTACATATTAAATACAGATTTAATGAAATGTATAGTTTTATTACAAAGTATAATAAAAGTTACTGGTATGATCCTGAAATTAATATTCCAATTTGGTTCTGGTTGTCTAGTCAGCATCAGAGCTGTAAACCTCCACTGTGCTTCTATAGGATGTTTACGATGTCCCATGAATAATAGGGTTCTAGCCCTAACCGGTTTGGCTCAGTGGATAGAGCATCGGCCTGCAGACTGAAAGGTCCCAGGTTCGATTCCGGCCAAGGGCATGTACCTTGGTTGAGGGCACATCCCTGGTGGGAGGTGTGCAGGAGGCAGCTAATCGATGTTCCTCTCTCATTGATGTTTCTAACTCTCTATCCCTCTCCTTCCGCTCTGTGAAAAATCAATAAAAAAAAAAAAAAAAAAAAAAATATATATATATATATATATATATATATATATATAGTTCTAGCCGGCTGGTGTGGCTCAATGGTTGAGCATTGACCTATGAACCAGGAGGTCACAGTATGATTCCCAGTTAGGGCATGTGCCCAGGTTGCACACTCAATCCCCAGTACAGGGCAAGCCAATCGATGATTCTCTCTCATCATTGATGTTTCTATCTCTCTTTCCCTCTCCCTTCCTCTTTCTGAAATCAATAAAAACACTTTTTTTTTTTAAAGGCAAAGACCTTGTATGCATAACCCATGGAGACAGACAGTGGGGTGGTGAGGGCCTGGGGCGGAGGAGGCTGAAGGGAGTTGATGGGGGAATAAAGGGGACATTTGTAATACTGTCAATAACAAAGATTAAAAAAAAAGTGTACCAGGGTCAGGCCCTGGTGGGGTAGCTCAGCTGGTTAGAGCTTCTGCTTAATATGCCAGGGCTGCAGGTTCGATCCCCAGTCAGGGCACATACAAGAAGCAACCAATGAACGCATGAATAAGTGGAATAACAAATCAGTGTTTTTCTCTCCCTTCCTCTCTCTGTGCCTTCCTCTATCTCTAAAATCAATATTTTTTTTTAATTAAAAAAATAAATGAATAAAAGGGTTCCAGGGTCAGTGTACTTGGGAACTACTGGATTAAATGAGTCTTATTACCACAGGACTGACGCAGTGACACACAATCACACATCTGAGGGGAGAGGTGGCAGCATATAAATAGAGACCTGCTTGACCACAGAGCGCTTGCTTTCTTTGGAGCAAGCAGCTCACAGCACCTGTGCTCCACAGGACACACTTGAGGAAATGCTGATGGTCTGATTATTTGCTTTTTAAATTCAAATAATATCAGATTTAAGGGCAAGGATCAAAATTCACTGACCTGTTGTACAAGCAGGTATTTGCTTGAAGGTGACTTTTCATTTCAGGTGAAAATATCGCAATGTCAGCACTGACAGGGACCACAGATAGTAAGATCTGAGATTGTAAAATGAATTGTATAATAAACCACCTGAGGATTCTAATACCGTAATTTTGTGAACTAATATCTAGGCCCGTTGGCAATCTGGTCTCTGACCCTGCGTGAGTAACTGGGCCATTTTCCAGTTTAACCTGTCTACCTGACCAACTGCATTCCCTGCATTGTTTATGCCACCACAAGACTTGCTTTATCAGTTTACTTTATAGACTCCAAGGGCAATTGAGGCACTGGCCATATCTTGTGACTCTACCTGCTGATCATGAGTCAACTGAAACTACCCATTCATCTTATCTCACAACCCCACTTGCTGAGACCACTGGGCCAGTAGACCCTGGAGAGTCCAGTTGCCCCGCCAATCAGAAAATGGATGATGTAAGTTTATGTTCTTGTTTACCTAGCAACCCTCCCTTTGATTCTTGTTTTTAAAACCCTTGCCTATTCTCCCCACCTTAGAGAGTGTCTCTGGTTTATACTGAAGGCTATGTTCTCTGATGTGCAAATCATGTAAGAATCAAACTCTCTTAACTCCTGTGGACTTTCAAGTCCTGAGGAACCTGAAGAAATACACACAGTTGGACACCCTGCCAGGATGTTCTAATGAGGGCTGGGCACATGCCCATGAAAAAGACTCCCAGTTGGTTCTGAAATGCAGCCTCTGATCCAGAAATCCAATGACCAGTATTGGGACATCAGTCAAGAGTTTTCTTTCTTAAAATCTTACGTACTGGTTTCTTTCATTCAATGAATATTAACCAAGTGCCTTCTCTGTTCCAGGCTCTATGCCTGGCAATGGCTTGACTCCATGCTAAAATCAAACAGGAAAGTTGTTCTTGTTTCAGCTTTAGTTTGTCTTCTGTTGGCGGAAGAGAAAAGAGACTATTCACCTTCATCTAGAAAGTCTATTAAAAAAAAAAGACATATATATTTATATTTCAGAGAGGAAGGGAGAGGAAGAGAAACATTAATGATGAGAATCATTGATTGGCAGCCTTCTGCACACCACCTAATGGGGATCAAGCCCGCAATCCAGCATGTGCCCTTGATCGGAATTGAACTGGATCCTTCAGTCCACAGGCCAATGCTCTACCCACTGAGCCAAACCATCTAGGGCTAGAAAGACCCTTTGGAATCTTGAAAGAGCTATTCTCAAACAGATTTCTAGCATATGTTTTATATGTCCTATTGGAGTTCTTGAACAGCAGCATCCAAAAAGGCAATTCTATAGTAAAAGAGATACTTGTGAGATTGTGGTTTATAATAATATGTATATTTGGTCTACACACACACACACACACACACACACACACACACACACACCTTTCTGGTAGAGTTCCTAAAACAATTGAACAAAGATGTCTCTTATTATGTTAATGAGATGATTTTTGGAACACCAACATGAATTACAACTAATCTGAATCTGTTTTAGGAAGAGCTTAAATTACTATAGAGCCTACCCTGAATTAAATACAAAATACCCTGGCCTGGATAGAAACAGCAAGACAGTTAGTTGTCTCCACATCTGAAAAACCTCAAGCTAAGCTCTGGAGCAACAGCAAATCTTGTTAAATGGCAGGAGTGCCATTTGGATATGCACTCTGATTTTTAAACAGAAAGAAGAGCCAAATTAAACTGCTCATCAGTATCAGCCAAGGGAGCTAATTGAGAACAGAGTCCTGAAGTGTTGACCAGCAACTATTACTGGGAAATGGCTTGGGATGACCAATGAAAGGGAACAGTGGCACAAGTTATGAAAATAATAGGGCAAGATGTACAATAAACTAAAGAAGAGAAATCAACTTTTCAAGAAATGCTGTATCATTTACATGCCCCATTACTAACAGTTGCCTACTATAGAACTTTAAGGTTACATGCCATATATTGCTACATAGAGAACATGATTATATGTAACCATCATCAATGTACATATATGTGTGTGTGTGTGTGTGTGTGTGTGTGTGTTGAACCCTTGGAATTATCAACATTTAAGGAACTAGCAAAGAGGAACCAATTGAAAAGAGTGGGATAGAACTAGAAAAGACAGAAGCCAAGAAAGAGTTCCAAGAAAGGAATACTCAACAAGGCCCAAAGCAGCAAAGAGTTCAGAGAGAAGTACTAAGTAGTGCCCAATAAATTTGGCAACCAGAGTCTCTAGTGACCTTGACAAGAACAATTTCACTCAAACAGATTGTCAAACTGCAGCGGGAAGGCCGGGGAGGGTTGGGGGACAGGAGGTAGGGGGGTAAGAGATCAACCAAAGGACTTGTATGCATGCATATAAGCATAACCAATGGACATAAGACACTGGGGGATAGGGGAGGCTAGGGGACTGTCTAGGGCGGGGGGGGGGGGGAAATGGACACATATGTAATACCCTTTGTATTACTTTAAGCAATAAAAAAAAAAAGAAAGAAAAAAGAAAAAAAAAAGAACAATTTCAGTAGATTGTTAAAGGCAAAAGCTGGTTTACAGTCGGTTAAGGAAAGAAAGGGAAGTATGGAAAACATTCCATCCATTCATTTATTTATTCTAATGTATACTGAGTGGCTACTGGGTATACACTGACAGTTGGTTCCAAAGGGAAGAATAGAAAGAGAACAAGGTGAGGCTTTAAAATTTGTCCCAAGTACTTAGAGCTCTATTGGCCTAGGAATCATTGAGGGTCTGATTCACTCCTATATGCTTTATGTATATGATATCATACAAACTGTTGAAAACTATGAACAGAAGGTGAGTAAAGTGATAAATATTTAGTACAGTACAAGCCTTAGGTAAATATCTTCATGTGGTACAAGCGATCTGCCTACTAGGGATAATTTCTTCTTCACTCATGATCACCCATTCGCTGTAGTAGAAACTTGTGGTCCTGAGGTCATTTGGACATTTCTGCAGGATCAAATGGTAGCTTCTCAAAATGAAAGTCCCTCCACTTTGCATACAGTCTCTGCTCTCCAGTTGCAATATCCTCCACCACAAAACTTTCAATTTTTATGATTGGGATCTCAAATGTCTTATACTTCACTTGGATGCCCCAGTCGTGGCTGCAGTTCTGTCTGGCACAGAATACCTTTGCTTTCTTCTCAAAAATCCCCACACTCTTTGGTCTGGGGTGTGCCTTAGTCACGAAGCACTCCTTGAAAGCATCTCCAACCACAGTGTAATGGCATTCCTATGGATAAAGGGATCAAACATAAAATAAAAAAAAAAAAAGAACATTAGAACCAGTTCACAGTGATAGCGGTTCGCTGTTATTATTTCACACATTGATAATTATAGCATATTTATAATTTTGTATCATGATTATTTTTCCGCTTTACCATTAGTTTATAAGGAGTTTTTCATTATTCTATATAAATTTCATAATCATTTTGTTTAATAAACCTGACTTTGGAATAATTTTAGATTAATAGATAAGTTACAAATGTAGTCCAGAGAACTCCTGAATTCACCTTTCCTGAATGCTAACATCTTACATAACATAGTGCATTTGTCCAAATTTAGAAGTTAATATCAGCAAATTACAATTAACTATAGATTTTACCTTTTTCCTAGTAAAACCTTTTATCTGTTCTAAGATTTAATCCAGGGAACCACACTGAATTTAGCATATCCATATTTCTAATGGCTACATAATATTTAATTAAGTGGCTGTGCAGCAATTTTTAAAATGATTTCTTTATTGTTAAAATTAAGGTGTTGTGTGTGTGTGTTTTTAACTTTTTAGCTTTTGTAAAATACATGGACCATGACATTAGTTATAAAGAAAGTATGGCATTCTTATAAATATCTCACCAGTAATGAGTAAGCTTTAATTAGTGCTAAAAAATGACCCAGTATTCTTTGGAAAAGGCTGCTCACCTCTATCACTCTTATATCTGCTGTATGACAAGCAAAGGCTTTGCACTTTCTGCAGAGCAGTTTTTTATTTTTCTTATCAAGTGCAGGTTCTGCTTTTCCTTGACTATCCCTGATGAATTTTTCATGAATCTGGATCTGGTGAATCTACATGAGAAAAAAGAAATACCTCATAAATGTAATTAAAGTATATATATATATATATCATTCATTTTGCATACACTTCCATGAACATGCCGTACCTGGTGACTTTGTAAAAATCCCATAGGTAGTTTTATTGATTCTCCTAACTCTTTGTTAGTCAATGTTTAACTGTGGCCTCCAATTAGTCTTTTAATTTCCTCATCAAAGTTGCCCATAGAGCACTATAGATGTCCATAAAATAGTCATATGAACCATGCTTTCTACTTTAGTAGCCAGCAAAACTTAAAATGTTCTTCACAAATAGATATATGATACACATGGACTGTTTCAGACATATTTACACCCACTTCCAAGGCATAAACCCAACTGAATGAAACAGCAGGCAGAAGAGCCCTCACCATCCAAATTGGTTTTCTCCTCTTTCCTCTTCCAACCACAGAGAGCACTGTCAAATTACAGTAAAGTTAAATGTATGTATGGTATGACTGCATTATATTTCAAAATTTAGGCATTGGCTAAGTACAACTTATGTTTATTATTTTTTTAAAATATATTTTATTGATTTTTTACAGAGAGGAAGGAAGAGGGATAGAGAGCCAGAAACATCAATGAGAGAGAAACATTGATCAGCTGCCTCCTGCACGCCCCCCACTGGGGATGTGCCCGCAACCAAGGTACATGCCCTTGACCGGAATCGAACCCAAGACCCTTGAGTCCGCAGGCTGACGCTCTGTTCACTGAGCCAAACCGGTTCTGGCTATTTTTTTTTTTAAATTTTTTAAAATATATTTTTATTGGTTTCAGAGAGGAAGGGAGAGGGAGAGAGAGATAGAAACATCAATGATGAGAGATAATCATTGATCAGCTGCCTCCTGCATGCCCCTTACTGGGGATCAACCTGGGCATGTGCCATGGTTGGAATTGAACCTGGGATCCTTCAGTCCGCAGGCTAACGCTCTATCCACTGAGCCAAACCAGCTAGGGCCATATTTATTTAAAATAAACATAAGGAGTTCAGCTGGCATGGCTCAGTGGTTAAGCTTCAACCTAGAACCAGGAGGTCATGGTTCAATTCCCGGTCAGGGCACATTCCCAAATTGCAGGCTCGATCCCCAACATGGGGCATGCAGAAGGCAGCCTATCAGTGATTCTCTCTCATCACTGGTATTTCTCTCTCTCCCTCTCCCTTCCTTTCTGAAGTCAATAAAAATATTTTAAAAATAAATAAATAAAATAAACATAAGGAGATTTAGATTTAAAATCTAAAGGGTGAAGAGAGGAAGGCAGACTAGCTAGGAACCTTGGGATCCTATGATAGTAAGTTCCCTGTTTGTTTGTTGTTGTTGTTTTTCACCTCATATATCCTAGACTGGAGCTGAAGAAACTGGCAACCAGAAATACCTATGGGCACAGGTAAAAAAAGTATCAACGGCCAGACCAGCGTGGCTCAGTGGTTGAACATCAACCTATGAACCAGGAAGTCACGGTTCGATTCCCGGTCAGGGCACATGCCTGGGTTGTGGGCTCAATCCCCAGTGGAGGTGTGCAGGAGGCAGCCGATCAAGAGTCTCTCTCATCATTGATGTTTCTGTCTCTCTCTCCTTCTCCCTTCTCTCTGAAATCAATAAAAAATATATGTTTTTTAAAAGTCTCAACAAAAGCTTATTCTCTCAAGCCAAAAGGCTAGGAAAGGGGCAGCCTAGAAAGACAGAAAACTTTTAGCCAAGAAATATTCTACTCCAGCCAAATACCAAAGAATAAAACAAAACAAATAAAAAAAAACTGTGACCCAATTTCCACCCATGGCAGCAAAGGCTGAGTGGGGAACCTAGATTTCCACTTTGTGGGGCTGTAATGAAATGCCCCAGCCCACTCACCTGGTGGTGTCAGAGAAGGCCAAGTAGGGAGCTAGGACTTTCATCCCTGCTTAATGGTAGCCGCCCCTCCCCCTTGCCTATGGTGTCACTGGAGACCATGTGGGGAGCAAGAACTCCCACTTCCACCCAGCAGTAACAAGAAGCCTCCCCCTCATTGGTATCAACAGAAGCTAAGTAGGGAACTGTAGACAGCACCTGGGAAGGCGCATGAGCTGATTGTTGGCTGAGTCCAGTGGTGTCAGCAGAGCCACATCCTGGAAATATACCTTGCCAGAGGCAGGTATGTTGTCAGCCTGACCTTTAGCTCAGGTGCCAGGGGGTGGGTTTCATTATCTAAGTTTAGCCAGGGCCAGGAACAGATGCAATTATCCGGGCTTAGCCAGGAATGAAAATTACAAAGAAGAATTGCAGCTTGATCTTTAACCATGACTTCACATAATTTCCTTTGTCTTAAACTCTAGTAAAACTTCCTGGTATCATGCTGTATATAGTAAACGCGTTGCTCTAGCTCTGGGTCACTGTCTCTCCATCTGAAGGCAGCGTCCCACCTGGCCCCAGCTTTACTTAAAGTCTTTGTGTCTGTTTCTTTTTTTCCTTTTCTCAATCCCCAGCCGCCCCGACTCAGGACTCGTTCGCTCTCTAGACGTGCTGGTCGAGGCCCAAGAGAGAAAACTTATAGGGAACCTGGACTTCTATTTCCACCTAGCAGTGATGAGATAATGTCCCTGTCTACTCTGCCAGAAAGGTGCCAGAAAAAGCCAGCTAACACAGAAGGTTAAATAAGATCCCAAATCTCTTAATATAATATGAAAATGTCTGGGTTTCAATAAAAAAATCACTCTTCATACCAAAAAACAGAAAAATCTCAAACTGAATGAAAAAAAAGTTAATCAATGGATACCACCACTAGAAGACAGAAGTTATCAGAGAAAGATTTTAAAGCAGCCACGATAAAAATGCTTCAATGAGTACTCAGAAACACACTTGAAACGTGAGCAACTATAAAGGCTCAACGAAGAAATGGAAGTCATAAAAATCCAAATGGATGTATTAGAATTGAAAGATGTCGCCGAAACCGGTTTGGCTCAGTGGATAGAGCGTCGGCCTGCGGACTGAAAGGTCCCAGGTTCGATTCCGGTCAAGGGCATGTACCTGGGTTGCGAGCACATCCCCAGTGGGAGATGTGCAGGAGGCAGCTGATCGATGTTTCTAACTCTCTATCTCTCTCCCTTCCTCTCTGTAAAAAATCAATAAAATATATTAAAAAAAAAAAAAGAAAGATGTAATAACCAAAATAAAAAGCTCAGTGTATGGGCTCAACAGCAAAATAGAGGAGACAAAGGAAAGAATCAGTGAACTGGAACATAAAATGATAGAAATTACTCAATTGGAACAACAGAAATAATATAGAGCACGAAAAAAAAATAAAATAAAGAACAAAGCCCCAGGGGCCTTTAGGAGAGTCCTGGCAGGAGAGGAGAAAGAGAGCAGAGCTAAAAAGTACTGGAAGAAATAATGGCTGAATACTCCCCAAATTGAACATAACATAATATAAACTTACAGATTCAAAAAGCTGAACAAAAACCAAACATGATAAATCCAAAGAAATCCACACCAAAGCACATTATAATTAAAGTTCTGAAGACTAAAGACATAGAAAAAAAATCTTAAAAGTAGCCTGAAAAAAGTGACACGTTACTTATAGAAGAAAAACAATCTGAATGACAGCAGATTCCTCATCAGAGACCATGAAGGCCAATATGTTCTTCAAAAATAAAGGGGAGCTCTACCCGGTTTGGCTCAGTGGATAGAGCATCAACTTGCTGACTGAAGGGTCCCAGGCTCGATTCTGGTCAAGGGCACATGCTCAGGTTGCGGGTTCAATCTCCAGTGGTGGTAGGGGGGAGGGCGTGGGCAGGAGGCAGCCGATCAATGATTCTCTCATCACTGATGGTTCTATCTCTCTCTCCTTCTCCTGAAATAAATAAGAATTAAAAATTAAATAAAAATAAAGGGGAAATCAAGACGATCTGAGATGAACAGAAACTAAGAAAATTTGTTTACCAGTGGAATTTCCCTAAAAAAAAAAAAAATGGCAAAAGTAAGTTCTCTAAACAGAGGGAAATGATAAAAGAAGGAGTCTTAGGACATCATAAAGAAAGAACATGGTGATTTCCACAATATCAGCTATCAAATCAAGCATCCAATTTTAAAAAATGCACTTATATCTAATTATACTCAGTTATATACTAAAATTCAGTTAAATACTAATAATCCCAAATATTTTAAGTGTTACTATGGGCAATAAATCCCAGTAAGTTAAAAGTATTACTGCTATACTTAAACTCAACAGGTAAAGAGGCTCAACCAATATCACAAATTAAGTTTATAGCTCACTGCCTCTCCCTTCCACCCGTTGTAGAAGAAGCTTAATTCCATGCACTAAGGTGGAAAAAAGCAAAACCATAAAACCCTGATTGTGTGCTGTCCTGGGTACACATCATGTTGGAAGTTCTTTTTGACATTTTATTCTCTACTCCATGAGGAAGAAAAGTGGGCTTCTCATTTTAATTTCAAACTAGCAACTGGGAAAAATGCCCTTTATACCTTATTTCTCCAGAATTAAACACTCCCAAATCCTGAAGCTTCCCCTCATGGAAATCAGTCCTTGGATACCTCTGGACCATCTACATGTTAAAATGGCTGCAGAGTCACCAGAGGTTCCCTGGGGGCCACAGTGCTCTAAGGAAGGTCAGCCGCATGCAGACAATGGACAAGGTAACTATGGGACCAAGCTTACAGTCTCCATCTCCATCTACTTGGTGTCGCCCTAAAGAGTTTCTTCCCTCTCTTCTGCAGGGTTTCTTCCTCCCACTAAAGCCAATATGCAGGGACCAGGGTGCTCAGATCCCAAGCCCTTATCAAAACAACACAAAATCTATAATACTGTCAACAATAAAATAAAATAAAAAACAACACAGAAAGGGGCCTCACCTCAAGAAACATAATTCCTTTTAGTTTTAAGAATATAAGGTTGTTCCTACCTTGTTATACTTCCACTAAGCCTCTGAAAGTAAAGCCTTCCTCTACGATAGGATAGGGGTGATGCCAAGACTCCATGCTCCTAGCTGCCACATAATGACTATCAGCTACATTTGTTCCGAATTCCCTCTCATTCTTTACCATCTCTGCCCATTTGCATTCTATGGGTGTTAGGCGGATCCCAAATGCTATGCAATAGCCCAATTCGACAGATATGTTGCCCGTTTTCTCCTTACTCCACTGCTTGACCTGATGTTCTGGCTACAAAAGAATGTTCATGCCTGGTCCAGCCTTCATCTTCCTTATTAGACTTTTACTCTACTGTTTCTGCCACATATGAATCTAATAAGTAGCTTGTCACCTGTGGGGGGGGATAAAAATTATTTCATATTAAAGCGAATATGGTTTTAAGGCTTTTATTGGCAACATCCTTATGTCCTACATAGGTGGCTCAGTTAAAAACCCCTATCTCTCAGTAAAATTATGGGGGAAAAATGAAGAGAAACTAAGAAATTTCCCTGCAATTCTTCCTGAAAATATGGAAGAGGGGTTTTTAAAATATCTTGGTTTCCAAACTTTAGGAATAAATGTTTATTAAAAATGAGTAAACGCCAACATAAAATTGTATTTTTGTCCTAAAATAAGTGTTAATTTGCTTTACATCACTGATTCTCAGTACTTTTTGAGCATAGAGATTATGACTTTTTAAAAATTGTGGCCACTGTGCAGTTGGCCTACTGAAGTGGAAGGTTCATCTTTCTGAAATTACAGTATGCCTTTCACCTGTGTCCAATGACTCATTTTTTAGCACTTATTTTATACTAGGGACTGTGCTAAGTAATGTATACATTTTATTTTAGCCCCAAAACTACTGTGAGTTTAATACTTTACAAATTTCCCCAACTGTACAAATGAGGAAACTGATGATTTTAAAAACAGAGTAATGACCTGAGGTTATACATCTTGTAAGTGGCAGAACTGGAACCAGAACCACTGATTCTAATGTGAAAGCTCTCCCCCGGCCCTGCAGTGCTCGATGCTTCCAGAGGTTCTGAGATGAAAATCTCTGCAGAGTCTGGAGAAAGTCTGAGTGTGCATGTGCATGTGTGTCTATTTTCCCTCATCTGGTTCCATGCTTCTGAGTTATAAAGGAAATTACAATAAAATGAGAGTTACTACCAAGAGGCTGAACTGAACAGGTGATCCACTCCAAAGTATACATTATTATCCACCTCTACAATTAGGCACCCAACACTTGCACAGGGCAATGGGAGCCTTTCTCTGGGGACTCCAGATGTTGGAAAGAGATCTGAGAAAAAGACCAAGAAAGACTATGTCTTGCAGTGTTAGGTTACTGTCCTCATGATAAACTCAAAGGAAGAACGATTCTAGCTCAGTTTGCCTTTTAGATTTAAAAGCACAACTTCGGGCATCAGCATTAATAAAACATATTTTAATCTCATTGAGACTTAAAAGCAGAATAAACTAGATGTTCACTGCAGAACAAATTTTTAAGATTAAACTTATTGTTCTAATGCAACACTCAGCCATCTGATAAAAGGTACCAACCTTGCTCACCTTCTCTATCTGTTACTTATGGCCAGATTCTGAAAGAGTAGCACAGATGAAAAGACTTACCTTTTTTTTAAATACTGTTTCATCCCATGCCTGGAGGCTTAGAATGGAGTCATTCATCATTTTTTCTTTGTAGATGTTTATTTTTTCTTTTTCAATTACATCATCATTACTAGTCAGAAGAAAGCATTTGCTACCTCTTGCTCTTCCTCTGCCTGTCAAAAATAAGTATTTCATTCGGTGCCTTTCATTTAAAGCTCTGATAAATCTGAGCATAGGTAAGCTAGGGGGAAGGGGTATTCCTAAAATGCAACTCTGGTTCACTGAATCCCGCTTTCCAGGGAAGCTGAGCCGTCAGAGCACAGACCGAGAGGCGGGCGTGCACCAGCCCGCTAGGCCCGCAGGCGAACTGGGAGCCCGCCGCACACGGGCTTCCTCGAAGTCTCCATGCTGCAGTGTGATCAGACAGCCGCACTATCAGAAACACTGCTTGACAGAGAGTCCAACATGAACCCTCATGATGACACTGTGAGGGCTCTAAGGTGAATAATAACAGATCCTCCCTCAGGAGCCTTCTAGGAAATGGGGAAATAAGCTATGTTCACAACCACAAGAACATAGGTGGAAAATGAGAAGTGCTGAAAGACATAGAGTTACGGATGTTCAAAAGAGAGATGACTGACAGCTGGGGGAACTTGGGACAGGTGATAGGGAGGTGGGGGAAGAGGTAAAACGATCATCAGTAGCAGTATATGAGCAATTCCTTCAACAAGGAGAAAATGATGAAGTCAGGTTGGCTGAAGTGAATTATGAATAAAGGGGAAGAATTGGAAAGATAAATGGGTGCTCGATTTGAAAATTCGGTAACGTCAAGCTTGGCTGGTGTGGCTAAGTGGTTGAGTGTCGACCTATGAACCAGGAGGTCACAGTTTGATTTCAAGTCAGGGGGCTCCATCTCCAGTGGGGGTGTGCAGGAGGAAGCCGATCATTGATTCTCTCTCATCATTGATGTTTCTATCTCTCTCTCCCTTCTCTGAAATAAAAAATATATATATTTAAAAAAACACAATTTTGTAACATCAAAAAATTGGGGAACCACTGCAATTTCTATACAGGGAAGTGACACGTTCAGAGCTTTTTCCAGGAAAGGTAATGTGGCAGCTGCTGTTACAGAAATTGAAAAAGGAAGCGAGACTAGTTAGGAGACTCTGGTGCAAGTGGGACAGAGAGCTCCTTGGACCCAGCGGGCCCAGCGGCACCACATGCACAGCCAGGAGAGGTGTGCATGCCGACTGCCAAAGCCCCAAACCAACGGGAATTATCCTAAAAACATGTCAATCAGTGTTGACCAAGTCCACAGTTTTCATTGTGAACAAGAATTAAAATAGTGGACAAAACCATAGCCACCTAATCCTCGCCCAATAAGTCACCTTTCGGGCAGTGATACCAGAGTCCACTGTGCCACTGGCCACACACACAAGCAGGACTCAGTAAAGGAGAAAGGCCGGAACGACGGGTACACTCACAAGTCAGACAAATTGGCTGACATTTAAAACAGCACCAAAGCTTCTCACCTCTGGTTTGGATCATTTTGATGACATTGCCCACGTACTCGTACAGAATGACCAGATTGCACTGCGCAATGTCGATGCCTTCATCAGCAACTGAGGTGGCGATCAGAATCTTCTTATCGCCACTGGCTCGGAATGCATCCAGTACACACTTCTGTGCTGGGAGGGTCATTCCTGTGCCAGAGTCAGAGGGCATTACAACTCACCAAAGAGGGAATTTTACCCTTGAAGAAAAGCAGCTATTAACTATGGAATGCTTACTGCATGCCAGGGACCGTGATAAGTGCTTTGTATTCATGATCTCTCAACAACCTCAGGCTGTAGGGCCTATCCTATCATCGCTAGAGAGAGCACATGTAGGGCGGTGCAACTTGGACTCTGCCACAACACTGCCTGAGTTCAAATTCCAGCGGCGGCATTTACCAGCTGTGTGGCTTTAGTTGTGTTGTCTCAAAACAAATATTGATTAAAAAAATATATTAACTAATCGTAATACCTTTGCAAGTGTATAGGAGTTTACAGCTGACAAAACATTTTCATCTACTTACTCACGGGAACCTCACAAAGCTCTCTTAGGTTGGCGTGGCAAGTGTCACCATTCCCCTTCACAGATGAGGACCTTGAGGCTTTTGGAAATATGATAACTGACAGGCTACCTTGCAGCAGAACCTGGCCTTGAATTTTTAAGTCTAGGATCCTAAGAGTGAGCAGTTCTCAGCCACTGATATAATGAGAGGAGAAAGAACTTCAGTGACCCCCACTTTAGAGTTAATAGAATTTATAAAAGTTCCATTTCTTTCCTAGTATATCGGCTGTCAAAGTCTTGAGATATACTTTGTGAAGGACAAAACAACTTCAAGACAGACACCATACTTCATTAATTTCATTCATTTGTTCATCAAACATTTATTCGGCATTATGGTTTGTCAGATAAGAATACAATGGTTAAAGGTCCACTTTTACCTACAAGGAGCTCATAGTTTGAGGAAGAGGGGTACAATAGGAAGCTATAGTTCCATGTGACGAGCAATGAAGTGGAGGCAGAATGGATGCTGTGGGAATGTGCAAGGCTGTCTGGCAGAAGCACAATGACTGGCTAAGTTCTAAATAAATGTGGCTGGATGGATGAATAACAGAGGAAACAAATAAGAAAATATTTTCTGAGTGTTTATTTGTGGGGAAATAACAAAGGTGGAAAATCATATAGGACTCATGTTGGAGTCAGATGGTAAAGAACTTTGACCACAAGAATCTGTGGTGTTCAGCTGGAGAAAGATAAATATCACATGATCACACTCATTTGTGGAATATAATGAACATAAACGGATGAACAAAAATAGAGCCAGAGTCATAGAACCATCTAACAGATTATCCAACCTAAAAGGGAAAGCAGGGGCGTGGGGCGGGGTGAGAGATCAACCAAAGGACTTGTACTCACGAATATGAGCATAACCAATGGATAGAGACAGTAGGGGGGTGAGGGCGTGAGCTGGGGGGTTGGGAGTGGCTGGGGAGAGGTCAATGGGGGCGGAGGGGAAGGAGACATATGTAATACTTTAAACAATAAAGAATTTAAAAAAAAGAATCTGTGGTGTTGGACTTCATTTGGTATGCCAAATTTTCAAAATCTGAATTTGCCCTTTAGAGTCACGGAATTTAAAATTTGTATAAGGGGGAAGTGCAAGGGTGATGATTGAGGACTGACAGGGTGGGAACTGCTTATCCTAACACTAAAGAGGAGGAGCAGAGAGGAGCTGGCATTGCTGGTCACTGAGGCGTGGGGAGCACGGCTGTGAGAATGCCAGGTGAGGGCTGGCCACTGCCTCCTCCTGGACAACCACAGAGGCAGCCTTACCTCCTCTGACCACCCTCGCTAGAGTTCAGGCTTGTCTACTTGGACTATTTTTTTAAACTCAAAGTATATAATACACACAAAAGCATCTATAGTTTAAAGAACAATAAAGCAGAAACAGAGCATTTCTACTTCCAGTTAATCTACTGGTTGAGCAGAAGAGTGACATGCTCAAACAATATGTAAAAAAAAGAACGGGAGGAGGCAATGTCTGCAACTTTCTGGCATGTGAGCATGTGATGGCCTTTTGATATGTCAACTTGCCTAGGCTGAACTACAGTCTCTAGTGGGATTTGCAGTTGTAATTAAAGTTCTTAATCAGTTGACATTAAGGGAATCAACAGGGGCTTCACCCTAGGTGGGCCTAACCTAATCAATAATACTGATTAGGTATTAGTATTAGAAAAGGGCTTAGGTCAGTGATGGCGAACCTATGACACGCGTGTCAGAGGTGACACATGAACTGATTTTTTTTGTTAAATGGCATTTAAATATATAAAATAAATATCAAAAATATAAATCTTTGTTTTACTATGGTTGCAAATATCAAAAAATTTAAATTTCTATATGTGACATGGCACCAGAGTTAAGTTAGGGTTTTTCAAAATGCTGACACGCCAAGCTCTAAAGGTTCGCCATCACTGGTTTAGGTATTTCCTGAGCTCAGGACTTCAAACAGCTCATGGCTATGGGGTTCCAGCCTGCTCCTGACCACCTACCCTGCAGACCTCAGACATGTTTTGCCAGTACAATTGTGTATGCCGTACCTTGTAATAAACCCCTGTGTGTATGTATATGCACGTATCTCTGTGTGTGTGTGTGTGTGTGTGTGTGTGTGTGTGTGTGTGTATATATATATAAAATCTCCTACTGGTTTTGTTTCTTTAGTTGAACCCTGATACAAACATAAAAAAGATTCAATAGATTACATATATTCTTATATATAGTATACCATATATAAATACCTATGTTCTGATTTGTTTTGCCACGTCCAGTCAATATGTCAGGTTTTAGAAAGCTGAGTTTAGAATTTTCCTCAATCCATTTCTTTAAAGCCTGAAAACGAAAAGCAATTTTCAGTTAGGCCCAATTTGTATGCCATCTGTATTAATTCAATACTGAAGTATATGCAAGAAGTATATGTTAAGTTAGTATACAGACAGTTTTCAGATTGATAAAACTAAGAAAACTGCTTCTTGGAATTGAATTCTATGCAATAATTAACCATAAAGGTACAAATCTTTGTCATCAAAGATATTTTTTAAGTGATAAAAGCAAAGTTTAGATTGAAAGTTTAGATTAAAACTAAAAAGTGAGTTTAGCAAGATCTAGGACACAAGATCAGTAGACAGAAATCAATTGTATTTCTATATACCAGCAACAGACAAAAGAACCATTTACAACAGCATTAAAAAGTAATACTAGCCGAAACCGGTTTGGCTCAGTGGATAGAGCGTCGGCCTGCGGACTGAAAGGTCCCAGGTTCGATCCCGGTCAAGGGCATGTACCTGGGTTGCGGGCACATCCCCAATAGGAGATGTGCAGGAGGCAGCTGATCGATGTTTCTCTCTCATCGATGTTTCTAACTCTCTCTCTCTCTCCCTTCCTCTCTGTAAAAAATCAATAAAATATATTAAAAAAAAAAAAAAAGTAATACTAAGGTATAAGTCTAACAAAATACGTGCAGAATCTGTATGCTGAAAACAACAAAACACTGATAAAAGGAACCAAAGAAGATGTGGTAGGTGGCGTCGGAGGTAGCCCTCAACGATCTGTTTCCCCTGGTATTCAGATCCTTGTGTCCCTTCCCCTCAAGTGTGAACTGAACTTATTAACTTGCTTCTAATGAATAAAATAGGACAGATATGATGAGGTATCACTTCCCAGTTGAAGTTATAAAATGACTGTGACTCCATATTAGGCATTTTTCCTCAATCCCCCTTGAATCACGCACTCAGGGAAAGCCAGCTACCATGCAGCCTGTGGAGAGGCCCAAGTGAGTGAGCTTAGAAGCACATCTTCTGCCTGGCTGGCCATGGCTCAGTGGTTGAGTGTCAACCTATGAACCGGGAGGTCACGGTTCGATTCCTGGTCAGGGCATATGCCTGGGTTGCAGGCTCAGTCGCCAGTGTGGGACTAGAGAAGGCAGCTGATCAGTAAGTCTTTCTCATTATTGATGTTTCTATCTCTCTCACTCTCCATTCCTATCTGAATGGAGATAAACCAATAAAAATGTATTTAAAAAAAAAGTAGCACATCTCCCGATGCTGCCAATAGACATCTCAGTGAGGTGGAAGTTGATCCTCCCAATTCAAGCCTTGAGATGACGGCAGCCATGGCCAACACCTCACTGCAGCCTCAAGAGACGCTGGGCCAGAACCACCCAGTTAGGTTGTTTCCGCTTCCTGACCCACAGATACTGTAAGATAATAGATGTTTGTTGTTCCCAGTCACTAAGTTTTGTTTTTTTTGGGGGGGGGGGCAATTTGTTGTCAGCAATAGGTAACTAATATAGAATCTCTATATAAATGAAGAAATATACTATGGTCATGGATTGGAAGACTCGATATTATTAAGATGTCGTTTCTCCCCAATATTGTTTGTAGATTCAATGCAATCCCAAAAGAGATCCCAAGTAGACTTTTTCATAGATGTGGACAAGGTGATTCTAAAATATAAATGGAAAGACAAAGAAAGACAGCTAAAACAATTTCAAAGAAAAGAAAAAGTTAGAGAACTCATACTAGCTGATTTCAAGACTTACTATAAAGCTATAGCAATCAAGACAGTGTGGGATGTATAACAATAAAAAATGGACAATTTACTTCTGTTTCAACATAGATAGATCTCAAAAACATTATGCAAAAGAATTAAGTAAAATGAAAACAGTCACAAAGGTCCACTCTTTTCCAGTTTTATCTACATGAAATGTCCAGAATAGGCAAATGTATAGAGACAGAAAGTGATAAATGATTACTTAGGACTCAGTAGAATTTTGATGAGGAGTTATTGCAAATGAGTGGGGACTTTCTTTGTGGGGAGATTGAAATATTCTAAAATTAGATTTTGGTGATAGTTGCATTACTCTGTAAATATACTAAACAAAGTAGTATTATATAATTTATATGGATAAACTCTAAGGAATAAAGATTACCTATAAATAAATCTAGTATAAAAAAAAGACAGTGTGGGATGGGTGAAAGGACAGACATATAGATAAATGGAGCAGAATAGAGAATCCAGAAATAGATCCACATAAATACAGTTAACTGATTTTTTTTAAAGTTACGAAGACAAGTCAATGGAGAAAGAATAGTCTTCTCAATATACAGTGCTGGAACAACTGGATGTTCACATACAAAAAGAAAAAAAAAGCATCTCAACCCATACCTCAAAGTGGATTGGAGAGCTAACCATAAAATGTAAAAGCTTCTAGAAGATAACACAGAGAAAACCTTTGTGGTTGTGGGTGAGCAAAGTGCTCTTAGATACAATACCAAAAGCTCAATCCACAAAAAGCAAACATTGATTAACTGGACCTCATCAAAAGTTAAAACTTTCCATCTATAAAATATATTGTTAAGAGAATGAGAAGACCAGAAGACCAGAAGAAAAAATTTCAAATCACGTTCCCAACAGAGGACTTTTTGTCAGAATAAAAGATCACTCAAAATTACATGATAAGCCCTAGCCGCTTTAGCTCAGTGGATAGAGCGTTGACCTGCGAACTGAAAGGTCCCAGGTTCGATTCCAGTCAAGGGCACATGCCCAGGTTGTGGGCTCGATCCCCAGTGGGGGACTTGCAGAAGGCAGCCGATCCATGATTCTCTCTCATTATGTATGCCTCTCTCTCTCTCCCCCTTCCTTCCTTTCTGAAATCAATAAAAATACATTTAAAAAAATATAACATGATAAACAATCCAGCTACACCCATTTTAAAATGGGCAAAAAATGTGAACAGACACTTCACCAAAAAAGATGTGTGGATAGCTAATAAGTATATGAAAATGTTAAACAGTATTAGTTTTTAGTTAAATGCAAATTAAAACCCTAGTGAGATATCACTACATACCCATAGAATGGTTAAAATTTTTTTAAATCAATGAAAAGAATAAAAAACATGTAAAGGTATCAAGACATCATTATAAACTAGAGTAATTACAACAGTGAAGTAAAGAAAAGACAATCTTTCCAATAAAATGGTACTGCTCAATTTGTTATCCACAAGGAGGAAGAAGCTTACATCCACAAGTGCTCTGGTTTTAACAAAGAGAATGGTTCTGGTTTCTGGGTTTAAGTGGTACTCCTCTTGCAAGATGAAGCAGAGGTCCTTCAGTTTAGGGTTCTCGTTGCTGGGATCCATAGAAATGCTCTCTAGTTCTGGCAACTTTTCTGCAAAAGGAGTACGTTTTGTAAACGACTTATAAATTCTAGAAATTTAGAACACACTGGGACTTTCAGCTATAGTTCCGTTAATCTCTTAATCTGACCAAAATTGTGTAAGTGAAAACCACCAACTGAATGCATACATTACTAGTAAATACACCAATAAATGCATATATTTTGTTTCCCCCCTGAAGAGCTGGTTGTTCAATGTTTAGCAGCACATCACTGGGTTACACATATGTGTAAATAAATACTTCAGTCTAGGCCCCCCCAAATTTTTTTTTTAATTTTATTTTACTGTTTAAAGTATTACAAATAGTAGTACATATGTCTCCTTTTTCCCCCCATTTCCCCAAAAATTATTAACAGCAATTATCTTTGGGGGGAAAACAGGGGAGAAGGAGAAGGAAGCCTTACTTTTCATTTACTATCTTCCAAAATTTTCTTAATATGAGGGAGATGGAATTATGAGCCATTTTGATTTTCCTCTTTACATAGAAGTATATATAAATTACAGTATTTTTAATATCATTAAAACACTTTTTTTTGTAGTTTGTAATCTTTATAAAATTACTGAAAGTAAAATCAAAATATGCTACTATTAACTATTTCCATGAAATATATCCTTTGCAAGTCCTACTATTTTTCCTTCTTCAAAACCGGAACTAGGATAAGCCACAGGTTCTTTCCTTTAGTACCAGACTTCACTGAAGCTCCATGGTCCGGCCATCTGCGTAAGTCCAGGACAACATTCTACATGAGCATCACCAAATGCTAAATAAAATGCTGCACAATTATGCTATCACTGCAGTCACCAGGCTGCATGGCTTCCTCCTCCGGAAACACCACCCACCTTCAAATCTGCGAGTGAGATCTTGCTCTATCTCATCAAATCCTGCTGAGCGGACATTGCTGAAGAAGTCTTTCAAGTAATCCAGGGCATCTTTCGTCCGTGCATGCTCATTGATAAGGAGGGCATCATTAAATTTCTGTTTAAAATGAAAACGGAGTTTCAATGTATTTCTAACGTCCAACACATCTGCTGTACTTAAGTTCAATGAGCTGTAACTTGGCATGGAATTAATTTTAAGAATAAACTTTTCTCAAATATGTTCCAACTTAGTTTTTTTTTAAATGAACAGTCCCTTATGGTACTTAGTGAAATCTTGGAATCAAATACTGTTTTCAAAAAATCTCAGTTAGCTAGAATCAATAATTAATTAGGATCACTTTGGATTCTAGAGGTCTACCTTGGAAGAGAAAGAGAAAATTACAAGAAAAATGCATGTCAAAGACTAAAAGCAAATCAACTTCTATATCAATCTGCCTCAAAATTCAGACATTCAACTCAATCCCTTTATACATCTAAAGTCATCACTGAATGGTGATTGCGCCTGCTCAGAATGATGGCGCTTGACCACCTACACCAAATATTACGTTCATTAAAATCCTATAAATGCATTCTGGTTGAGTGTATCCTAAAATATCCGTATCTTCCTGTGCACATGTGGCTCTATCCGAGGTAGGAATACATGCTCAGGATAGCGCAACAGGAGTCCCGTACTGACTTTAAGGATGGCTGTCACCAGTCACATATCTACAGTAATGTTCATCCTCACCCAGCTTTTCCTAATTGTGTCAATCATGGGCATGCTGGAGGCACAGCCTAGAGCAGTGACGGCGAACCTTCTGAGCTCGGCGTGTCAGCATTTTGAAAAATCCTAACTTAACTCTGGTGCCGTGTCACATGTAGAAATTTTTTGATATTTGCAACCATAGTAAAACAAAGATTTATATTTTTGATATATTTAAATGCCATTTAACAAAGAAAAATCAACCAAAAAAATGAGTTCACGTGTCACCTCTGACACACGTGTCATAGGTTCGCCATCACTGGCCTAGAGCCTCCCCTTGTCCATCCTATTGCCTCCAGTGTTAAGTTCAGAAAGCAGACAAAGACAATGCTGAATGGGGTAATTTTTGGAAGTCTGCTTCATAAGAATCTTCTGGAAAGTTCCTGTATGAGCTGTGGGGGCAGGATGAAAAATTGATGTTCCCTCCTTGGCTGCCACAGCACAGCTCCCAGTAGGTGCTACAACTAAAATATGCCTGACTAGCCCTGGCCGGGTAGCTCAGTTGGTTAGAGAATCATCCCAATATGCCAAGGTTGTGGGTTTGATCCCAGGTCAGGGCACATACAAGAATCAACCAAAGAATGCATAAATAAGTGGAACAACAACTCAATGTCTCTCTCTCTCTCTCTCTCTCTCTCTCTAATCAATAGATAAAAAATAAAATATGCCTTTCCAAAGAAGCAACGTACCCGCAGATGTGAAGTGTACAAAAAAAGTGCTGTACAAATCCTGCTTTCCTTGTCTTTGTCTGGCAGGTGCAGCACCGCGCACTTTTTCTGAACTGCAACGATCCACTGTTCATATTTCTGTGTTCCAAAATTCCTGTTTTGAAACTGAGATAAGTTTTCTGGAAAGAAAAAGTTTTTCATTGTGTCATATGTCAGTCATTTCAGGTTCTGAGCATGCCTTACCCTCTAATTTTCTTTCTTATTCTGTGCACAGAGTGGCCAGGGTTCAGCAGTCCGGGCTCTGTGTAGGCGCTGGGGCCTCGGTAAAGGAGGAGGGACACCCAGCCCTGTCCTCCAGTAGCTCAGTCTGCGAGTGACTCTAGGAAGAGTCAGTTCTCAGGGCTCCCGGGGAAGAGCACAGTGCAATAAAATTCAGAGGAAGAGCTCTATTTCTGGGCTAAAATGTTCCTCTTTTTAAATAAAAGGAACGAAAGAGGCTTCTGAGACAAGTGGCCTTGACATGCTTCTTCCCCAGGCCAACTACAAACGAGGTGGCCAGCAGTGAACTACATGAATCAACAAGTATTTATTGAACTTGGGGAAGCATGAAAATAAGCAAGGCTGTGGTCACGGAGGTATATGGGAAATCTCTGTACATTCTGCTCAATTATGCTATGAACCTAAAACTGCTCTAAAAAAATAAAGTCTAGTAAAAAAATGAGCTAAGCAATCCAGAAATGAACAGTTGACAGGATTTGGACTGGCAAAAAGGAGGACGTACGATATTAGAGATGGAGGGAATAAGAAGGTAGAAATTCAAGCCCCCTCCCCAGGTCAGATCACGTCATAACACTCCTGGATGGTATCATGGCCTCCTAACTGGTCTCCCCACTTCTCCCCGGATTCCCTTCAACCCATTCCTCACTCAGCAGTTAGAGGGAGTTTCCAAACTGAAGGTGAGGAACTGCTATCCCACTGCTTCACACAGGTCCTCTGTGACCCAGCCCTCCCTGCTTCTGATCCTCATCTCTATACACTCCCCTCCCTGCATTTATAGGACTGATGTGAGTCCCCACTCTCTACTCTCCCAGCCTCAGTCCATGCTGTTCCCCCGCCTGAAACACCCTTCTCCCACCACCCACTCACCCCATCCCGTTGCTTTATTTTTATTGCTTCCTAATTCTGGTTTTACTGTTACACTGGAAATGCCATGAAGGCAGGAGCTGTGTCTCAGGGTCCACTGTGTATTCCCATCACCCAGCACCTTGCCAACACTGAATGAACAAACGAATGAGTGAGCATGTTCAAGGCTAAATAAAAAAATTTAGTCGGGGAAGGAGTGGAAGGTAAAAGTGGAAAGAAGTAGAACCAGGTTGTGCAGGCAGGACTCAGACAGTCAAGGAAGAGACCTGGAGGGTTTTGCCTGTAAACAAAGGGATTCAAGCAGGACACTGATGCGGTAAGACTGGTACTTCAGGAAGACTAGCCAGGCAATGGGGGAGGGAATGGATGGAAAAGAGTGAAGGTGGGCACACCAGCTAGAAGGCTATCAGAAAAAGCCCTAAATCAAGCTGTAAAAGAAAAGAGAAGTAGAAAAAGTGTGAGAGAAGGTGAGGCACCACGAGATACCCTGCAGACATTAGAAATTCAATTGTCACCCAAACTCTCAACTCACCCTGTGCCTGCCAAAGCTGCTCCTCGTTCTAGAACCAGTACCACTCACAGGCATATGCACAGGTGCCCAAGCGAGAAGCCTGTGGGGAAATCTTCCACTCCCTTCCTCCCTCCCACCCAAATCCAGTTAGCCATTAAGTCTGAACACTTCCTGTTTGCAGCGCTTTGCACAAGCCTCCTCCCTCACCACGCATCTCCACAGCCTCCGGCCCTCTACCTTCACTGGTATCCTTATCACATCAAAATCTTCAGTTGCTTCCCATGCTTTTAGGGAACAATTTAAACTCAGCTTGGCCTACCAGGCCCTTCCCTGTCTACCCCCTGCCTCTCCCTTTAGCCTCACTCCTTACTCACATGTTAAAATTATCATGAAAAAATATGTAATATATAAATAAAATTATCATGAAAAGCTTGTACTTTTTAAAACTCACTGCACTCTCTCTTCCTTCCATGCCTAATGCCTTTCGATCTCACTTATGTCTCTCCTTAACCTGGCTGACTTCTAGATCTGTCCCAGGAAGCCTTCCCAGCAGCCCAGTCCTGTTCCCATGTGCTCCCATGGCACCCAGCGTGTGACGCTGCCCGGTCCCATGGAAACTACTCGCATGTGATTCTCACTGTTTCACTGTGAGCTCCCGGAGGGTGGGGACTATGTCTTTGATCTTGCTGTTTCCATCTCTACCACAGTGCCTGGCACAATAATCTCTGGTGAATGAATGAGTGGATAATGAGGAGAAGAAAAGAACTTGGTGACTTCATGAGAGAGCCTCAAAAGAAGAAGGATCAAAAAAAGGTCACCTCTAGGCTTGAATCTGAGCCATAGAGGAATGGTGGTTTCATTCCTGCAATAGGAAGTCAGGACAGAAAGCTAATTTGGAAGTCAAAAGAGCAATGAACTGATTTACATGTAATATATTTCAGGTGTGTTGTCCTGCATTCACTTTGGATTTACAAAGGGACAAAAAGCAATAGAAAATAAAGGAGGACTTGGAAGGCTCTTGAATAACCTATAAACAAGAAAGTCAACCTCTGGATAGGTCTTGGCATTGTCTGAACTAAGGAAATTGCAAACAAATATTAGTAACAATATGTGGCTATTCCCAAATGGAGAGGACAGGAAATGAAATTTATCTCACCGAGACTTATGGTACCAAGTTCACCAAAGATGCTCTTTGCCAGACTCTCTGTCTCCTTCATCAGCTCAGAGATGATACATTTAAATGTGTTGGTGGTCCGTGATTTCACTTTCCTGAAAACTAGAGCCATCAAAGGAAAGTTAGTATTTTTCAGGAAGCTTATGTCAGATTTAAAGCAGGCATCCCCAAACCTTTCTCTACTGTTGTTACTTCCTCTGAGGCCCCAAGCTCACAGGTAACTCACCGAGGTGATCCAACAAACAAACCTTGCAACAGATCCCTCCTGCTAACATGTCTGCTGTGCTCTGGGTCTGACCCAACTTCTCACTCTGGCTTTCGGGTTACTCCACACGGAGCCCCTGCTCTAAGGAGGCTGGTGTCCAGCTTGTCTCTGCAAATGACGCTTTTTAAGCCTGTCTCTGTTCTTCGATTCCTTTCCACACAACCCTCAGGACTGTTTGCACTGTCCCTGACATTCACTATTGCATTGTTTCAGCAGAAATGTATTAACAGACCGCCATGTGCCATATTCTGGTGACAGACAGTTGAACAGAACTCACTCCGTGTGTTCTCAGCGGACAAAAAGACAACTGCCAAGTAACCACAGCAGAGTGCGGTAACATAAGTACGCACAAGTGTCATGGAGCACAGGGAGGAAAAAAAACCAAATTCTTCCGAGGGAGGCAGTGGTGTGGGATACGCAGGGGAAGAGGAAAGGAGGAAGCAAATGCAATTATGTACAAATAGAGCATGGACCAAAGTTAGAGAGAAAAGGCATTTGACACATTTGAGGAGCCCACAGGAATGCAACGATTGGGTTTATGGGAGTTGGGAGGAGAGGAAGCTCAGAGGGCAGGGCGGACCAGGTTATGAATAAATATGTACTTGATACTAAAAAGTTCAGAGTGTGTATCTTCTCTAAACCCCTACAGGCAGCTCCAGAAAGAAACGTAACTTCCTCCTCCCTGACTATTTCATGTCTGTCTGTTCTGCCTTGTACAGTCACATGTTGTTCAGACAAGCATGAAATCATGTGTATTTCCTCTCCCCGCACCCTCTTGCTGAATTAGTACAGCACTGGTATCCAATAAACATTTCTAGTCAATCTTATAAAAATCATATTCTCATCTTTTGAGGTATGATGAATTCAGATAATTTCAACCAAAATTATCAGATAAATACTGAAATGATGAATGACCACACAGTATCCTCCCCAGGCATGGACACCAGGAAGGACCGAGCCCGGGTCTTGGCCATTTACATGCTTAGATTTTCTCATCACCTCTCCCTCTCATGGTTCTCTGTATGAGTTTTATGGAAATGAAGAGTCAGATTGTTTGCTTTCTACAGGCCATTGCTGAGGTTCATCCATTGCTTGGGGAGAGAGCTCCGTCGAGGAGAGAGCCAGAAATGTGATTATTTTCCAAGTTTGGGGTTAAATAGTTTCTACTAAACAGAGAAAGTGTAAAAACTTAGTGTCCATTCAAATGGCTCTGAACTAGGAATAGCAGAGGATTACAGAGTCTAAAGGGCTTGTTACTGGATCTCACTTACACTTCTGGGGCTTATAAACAATCTCCTCCAGTTCCTCCAAGTTGTCTTTGACTGTTGCCACCACTGATGTGTCAAGAGAAGCGCACAGCTTGCAGATATACTCCGTGGCTTCCGTTGTGTTTTTGGCATCCCCAACGCCAACCGAGGCAGTCAGCCCAATGACCTGTGAAGAGCACTCCAAGCCATGAGATGTCCGGGGAAAGCATGGTATTTCCTCAGCCCCTCCTGTAACTCTCTCCTGCTACCGCAGGCTTCCCCCCAACTTCAAATAAAGAATATTTATTTGAAGTTGGGACATTTTTTCCCCCTGAAACTCTCTATGATAGTGTAAATAGAAAGGTCCTCATTAAGTAAAGCACTGAATAAATGCAGAAGTCACAACGCATGAGTTGAACACAAATCGGCATAGATATGAAGAGAGGAAACCCTTTCAAGGCAGGGCTTCTTTCTTCTTTACCCGTGTGTCCCCCATGATGGGTAGAACAACATACTGAAAAGGAAAAGGGCTGCAATCCGACATACTTCCATTCCAAGCCCAGCCATGTCACACTGGCTGTGTGTCCTTGGACAAGCAGCTCCCACTCTGTAAAGCTGGGTAACAATAGCGATTTAAAATGGTAGCTGTGCGAATTTAGTAAGATAACATTTGTAAAGAATATAGGTTAACAGTCACCTAATAAATATTTGTTTCTTCCTCTAAAAGCTTCTCAGTAAATATTGAATATTGAACTACCAATTTCTGCTTCTAGAAGAAAAGGGTGTAAGAAATGTGATTGCAACTGAATTTCGTCTATGGGCACCATCCCGAATTTCTTCCCATCTGTGTTTCCTAAACAGGTAATTATTAGGGTTAGAGAACTGTACACAAATGTGAGATTACTATGCTACAAATTCATGATTCCCAACTTCATCTGAGCCCCCAGTATAACCAGGCAATTCTTCTGTGGATTAGTTCTCTCTTCCATTTCAAATCCTCTCTATGCATCTTCCATTCCCATCTTCTATGTTCAAGAGAAAAGAGGGCTTATATCCAACTTCCCTTCCTTTCCTGCTCCATCTGAGAACTACTCTCTGTGATGACTCCTCTTCCCTCTCCCCTCTAATGACACCAAAAATAGCAAAAATGGTTTTCCATCTGGTCTCCTGTACTAATCCAGCTACTTGCCTACTTATCTAAAACCTCTGGTCTCCCCTGGCATCTTTTAAAAATAAAAAAAGTTCTTATTGATTTGAGAGACAGAGGAAGGGAGAGGGGGAGAGAAATATTGGTGGGGGAGAAACATTGATCAGCTGCCTCCTGCATGCCCCCGACTGGGGGTCAAACCTGCAACCTGGGCATGTGCCCTGACCAGGAATGGAACCAGCAACCTCTCAGCACATGGGACACATGCAACCAACTGAGACACACTGGCCAGGGCTCTCCTGGCACCTTGTTCTATCAATCATTCCCTCTCTCCCATCCTTACTCACCTACTGCTATTCACTACTTCACACTCTACACTCAAGTGATACTTAAAAGCTTCAAGATCCTTAAGCACACCATGTTCTTTCATCCCTCTGTGCCTCTGGACACACAGTAGCCTTTCCAGAAAACCACCCCGCTATCTACCTTGTAAACTCCTGTTAGTGTTTGCTTAACCTAACTTCTGTTAGGACTTGCCTTACCTTCACAGCACACTCAGGAGCTCTTTTACTTCTCTTGTGACTGCACCATGTACTCACCTCCATAGTGTGCCATCATGATATACTATGACATAATTCTAACATAACCGGCTCCCCATGAAACTTCAGCTGTTTGAAGGCAAGGAATATGTCTTTTTATATTTGCATCCCCAGTGCCTTGCACAGTGCATGGAGGCACCTGATACATATTTGTTAAGTGGATAAATTAACCAATGAGTCAAATTTAATCAATGAGTTATATAATATGGACTTAGAACCTGAGAAGGACATCTTCACTGTGGCCATAAGAGTTAAGTCAAGCCTGGCCAGTGTGCTCAGTTGTTGAGCATCAGCCTATGAATCAAGAGGTCACTGGTTCGATTCCTGGTCAGAGCACATGTCCGGGTTGCAGGCTTGATCCTCAGTAGGGGATGTGTAGAGAAACGATGATGTTTCTCTCTCAACGATGTTTCTATCTCTCTATCCCTAGCCCTTCCTCTCTCTCTAAAAGTCAACAGAAACATATATATATGTAAGTCAAGCCTGGTATATGTAGCTCAGTGGTTGAGCATCCATCTATGAACCAGGTGGTCACAGTTCAATTCCTGGTCAGGGCACATGCCTGAGTTGCGTGCTCAATCCCCAGTGTGGAGCGTGCAGGAGGCAGTTGATCAATGATTCTCTCTCATCACTCATGTTTCTATCTCTATCTCTCTCTTCCTCTCCCTACCTCTCTGAAATCAATAAAAAAATATTTTTTAAAAAGAGTAAATCAATACGATTTAGGAAGGTGACAGCTCTGCCGAGGAATCCATCTGATGTTGCAGATACCTGGGGCAGTGGGTCTGAAGATCCTCCAAGTTTCTGATCTAGATAATGAAACATGATCACATTGTAAGGATGGAGTTTGCTGGTGTTGTGGCATTCATCAAATATCATCAAAGTAAAGACAGATAGTGATGGAATAGTCCCATTTTTAAGGCTGTTCACAAGAATCTGTGGAGTTAAAATGATGATGTCATTGTTCTCAACAATCTGATCCACTGAGATATTTTCAACTGTGGCTCCAGAAATGCCTGCAATTTTGTACCTGGAAATGACAGAAACTGCCTATTACCAACCACGGTGTGAGTGAGAAACCACAAAGATATGAAACACTAGATCAGAACATTAATTGACTGCATTCTCCCTAAGTCAAAAAGGAGACAAGTGCTTAGCAACGTCTTACACATAGTAAGTGATCAATAAATGCAAGCTAGGTAAAATGGCTAGGAGTATATATTAAGTCACTAAGAAACTAGTACTTAAAGAGTCATAGTAAATAAATCATAAAGTCATTAAAAAGTTAAATGTGCCAGTTAAATGTAAAATGTATCTCAAGTCATTTACTTAGGATTTCAGGTATAGCTAACAAAACAGACTTGAATCCTGAAGGAATTACATCTGGATTCTATAAAAGCTGAATCTACTATGAATTTTTTAAATCATGGTTTCCCAAAACCAAAACAAAGCAGAAAGCACCCAGTTACATAAAGCTAGAGAAAAACAAGTTCAAACAACTGTTATACTAACCCATGTCTTTCAAAATATTTTAAGAAGACGGATTTCTGCTGTTCATACACTGGGAGTTGATTAGCAAAAAACACAATCTTCCCCTTTTGTCCTCGTGGAAATTTCTGAAGATGATGTTCACATATGAGAAGTGCAACAAAGGTTTTCCCACAACCTTTTAACATAAAGAAAAAGAAAAGGTCACTAATATCCTATTAAAATATTTCAGTCGAATGGTAATTTTTTTTGGCTCTCCTAAAACCACTGGATGGACTAGTAAACCGGTAATGTGAATGGGTAAACAATGGCAGAATTACACCAGGACTAACAAATATTAACCTACTCCCTAGGTAATATGAACTCAAACAGTCAGGGCCTGCAGCAAGCGAAAAGATGGCATGTTTCTTTCCCCTCGGGTTCTTTAAAATACCTTGAGACTATATTAATAACATGGTTTTCTCAAAAGACAAATGGAACAAGGAAAAAACTAAAACTTGCCCATTTCATCCCAGTATTCAATAAAAGGGGGAAAAAAAGGAAGCAGAGAAACAAACCATCTAAGTTCTGGCAATCAGCTTACCAGTAGGAGCACATATTATTATGTTTTTCCCTTCTAAAGCAGGACGAGCGAGCTCTAGTTGGTAATTTCTTGGCTTAATTGGGCTCTGAGTACAAGATGCTTCTGAAACACAAAAGGAACAAAATTACCAAGGAGTTTCTGCCTGAGGGATCAAGGCAATAGCTTTCTATTGTCAGACAGACAGGAATGCTGACTCCAGTAAGAAGGGCCTCATGTCGGAAAGTTTACAATCCTTGTTTTTAACATTCTAGCTTCTCCACTGATTTGAAGTGAAGAATTCTCCCTCAATGACAAAGTAGTGATGGCAAAAAGGGAAGAAAAAAATAAAATAACAAATGGCTTAATTCAGGGCAACACAGATGCCCACCGGTTAAAGGAAATGCTACATGGAACAAAACAGCAAGAAATCTTTGAAAAACACTAAACTGTGTAAATCTTGAATTCTCAAAGCAATCTCTTCTTGAAGAGCAGTCATGCTTTGTAATTCTGAAGGCTCTCACATGGGCTATTTTCTCTTAAAAGTGAAGGGGAAAATAAGACATTTGGGGGCTAGCTATCTGAATTCTGATGCACACTCTTGCTTGCAGATAAACTCCATTCTATCTGTGATGACTGGCCTGCCTTGCAGAACCTGTTTCCCAGAATACTCCCATTTTACAGAGGCCATAAACCGCGAACCATATACAACACCCTGAGGGGTTTGGCAGTGCTGGCACCAGACAGGCCTCTGAGTGTAATCTCACTTCCGCCATCCTAACTCACAGGGGGCTGCAAGCCCATGAAAAGTCCAGAAGCCTGTACTATATTTGGGGGACAAAGAAACTAAAGGGTATAAAGGGAAAGCTTCATCCATATTCATCACTCAGGATTTGGAAACTGACTCCCCTGAGTCACGGCACGTGTGCATCTAGAAATAAAGGCTATTTTTTCTGAATATCCTCTGAGTGCCCAGCTGATTAATTCTTCTGCATTAATCTGGTGTGTTAGCTGGGAAAATACCAGTCATGCTGTCTACTTAGGGCACCGCTGGTAAAGGCCAATGGCCGGTCCTTTTGCCCAGCTCCCTCCTGAAGATGGGAAAGGCATGCCTCCAGTGATTTACTGGATTCAGTCCTCATCGGACCCGGATGACCGGGACCCCCGCTTGCGCCCCAGTGGACTTCAAGCAGGACAGAAAAGCCCTTTCGGGAACCAGACGCCTGACTGGTAAGTTTTCCCCTGGGGGGAGCAGTCTGAGTTCAGGACTGTCTTTTGGGACAGAAGAAGTGGCTGATCACCACTTAGGCAAAATATTTGCCTCGGTTCAGGGACTTTCCGTGAGTGGAAGTCAAAGCTCAGACTGACTGTGAATTTAAGAGTCTGTGTGAAGCGAAAGTTACCTTGTGCTTGTCCTGTGTCTCTTTAACTGGGAGGTATTACATGGTTTAACTGCAAATATGGGAAGTAGTTCCTCCAAACCCACTGTTTTAGAATGTATGTTAAAGAATTTTAAGAAAGGTTTTCCTGGGGACTATGGGGTGAACCTAGTTCCCTGGAAGTTAAGAAAGATGTGTGACACAGACTGGCCATCCTTGGGTCAGGATGGCCAGAGGAGAGCACATTGGATATCCCCATAATCAGGAATGTTTACAGAGTTATAAAGGGAGTTTTTTGTTGTTGTTTTTTTTAATATAAATTTTTATTAATTTCAGAGAGGAAGGGATAGGGAGATAGAAACATCAATGATGAGGAAAGAATCATTGACTGGCTGCCTCCTACACCCGCACCCCCACCCCCCCACTAAGGACTGAGCCCACAACCTGGGCATGTACCCTGACCAGAATCAAACTGTGATCTCTTGGTTCATAGGTCTACACTCAACCCCTGAGCCATGCCAGCAGGCAAGAACCAGAAGTTTTAAAAAACAATCAGAGGCTTTATATCACTAATAGATAAACAAATGGAAATATGTTAAAAGCCACAAATACCTTGAAAATCATCTATTGAGTCCAAACTATCCATTTGAAAGAAAAGAAGACTTTCTAAAAGGTTTAGAGAGTTCACTAAGGACCTTTCACATGTCACAAAAGTTGAAAGCAACTTACATTCATTGATTTTATTTTGAAATGACCAAAAACTTGAATCATTCAGTTGCAGAAGTAATCTATAAATTTGCTTCTCATGGTGTTATCCCCAAATCACATCTTTCTTCTTCTAACACTACTCATGTATATCATAATTTTCCCCCTGGTGCCCTTTGGTAAATAACTTTTTACTATGGCTTATTATGCAACTTTCTGGTCTCATGAAAAGAATAAGATGGGCCTTTTACAGCCACAGGTAACTCATACCGGGCCTTTGTATGAATTAGAAAAAGCTCTCTGCTCAGAGGACATAGCCCCTGTTTGACAAACAGCACAAGCTGGATCTCAATCCCCTCTCAACCCTCAGCCGCGTACCATGGGCAGCGCACAAACTTCATCAATTTACACTGCAGCCCTGGGATCCTAGAAGGAAAGATAGCAAATGACTCTCAAATAGTAGAAATATTTCATTAGAAAGCAGGGCTGATTTTTAAAATCCTGTCTGTGAAAGCAGGAGCTCATGGACATTGAGTTTCTGGGAGGACTATTTGCATTTTCATGTAGAGATGCCTGTATTTTCTTAGTGATAAAAGAAGACCAAAAAAAGAAGATAGAAGAGGAAGAAGTTGACAATTGAATTCCTAACCATAGAAAAAAGTATTTCTTGTCATGTAAATTCTCTTTTCTTTATTACTTTCCCTTAAAAACCTTTTCATAAGACTGTGACTTTTGGTACTGAAAACATGTCCCCACACAAAATACTTGAAGGGCAACATATGGAAAAGAAAAAAGAGTGCTGGGTACCTGAAGGTGGACATGAATTCTGACTAAGATTCTGGCATTCTGGTTCTTCCTTGTAGAAAATCTGTACGTCGGAAGATTCTATTTCTCCATCCTCAAGCTCTTTCGTTTCCTCTTTTGCACCTTTATGAGACCAAAAAGCATCTTAGAATCTTTACATAAACTAATTGATTGTGAAAGCCTCACAAGGAGGTCATAATACTAAAATTGTAAACTCCCATTAAGATTTCTCACAAACATTCCTGTCACCTTTAAAACAATTAAAAGAATCTTTTCAAGTTTGCTATCTCAATTTGGAGTTTGAACTCCAAAGTCATTTTGGACTTTATTATTCAAAGTGTAGGACACAGATCTGCAATTTCAGGAACTTGTTAGAAATGCAGACTCCTGAACCCCTACTGCATCAGAATCTGCATTTGAACAAGATGCCCCGGTGGCTCATATGCACACTAAAGAAAATATTCCTGTCTTCCTTTCCTGGCCTCCCCAGGAAACCAGATGTGTATTTCTGGAACAACTTGTGATCTAAAGAAGCCACAAAAAGCTAAGAGGGTTTACCAAACTCAACCTTTAAAACAGTAGTTCTCAACCTTCCTAATGCTGCAACCCTTTAATACAGTTCCTCATGTTGTGGTGACCCCCAACCATAAAATTATTTTCGTTGCTACTTCATAGCTGTAATTTTGCTACTGTTATGAATCGTAATGTAAATACCTGATATGCAGGATGTATTTTCATTGTTACAAATTGAACATAACTAAAGCAGAGTGATTAATCACAAAAACATTATGAATAATATATGTGTTTTCCAATGGCCTTAGGCGACCCCTGTGAAAGGGTCGTTCAACCCGCAAAGGGGTTTCGACCCACAGGTTGAGAACCGCTGCTTTAAAATGATGCTTTGAGGTTAGCTTCAGGACTCAGATACTTAATACAATAGATTATTTTTTTCAATCCTGCTCTGGTTCAGTTCCAGGTGGCTTCCAGGCAAAGAACCAAGCAATGTCTATCATGAATCTACTGTGAAAAGGGATAAGTCCTGGTTTGGACCCTCTTAACTCTTGAATTTTCAAGAGATTTCTCTGATAATCTAAACCCAAATATAGTGAGCTCAGACCCTGCCTCCCCCAAGTCCTTTGGGCCAGATGGGCTAATTCTGGATGAGAATGGTTTGCCCTGGTCCATATTTAGGGGTTATATACACCCAAACTACTTCTGTAGGCAAGTAGCCCCTTGCCTTCCAGAATTCAATTTCATGCTGATCTCTCATTAGAGAGGTAGCGATGGGTATCAGAGGGGAAAAATGCCTCTGACAGCGCGTGAAAAACAGGTAGGAGTGAAGGAAGCCCTAAGGAGAACTATGAGGAAGCAGAGTATGCTTTCAGACCCTCCCTCCCCCCTTCAGAACTGTTCCTTCAAAATCCTACCTTTCTCTATAATCCAAAGTTCACTAAAATTGCTCTCTTCTTTCTCCAAAGCAAGTTTCAAATATTTGGGCCAGTTCTCCTTGTCTGATCTGAGAAGGCATTCAACCATTTTCTCTGCACCTGCCATCGGCCCCTTGTTGGAACAAACCTGAGCAAGACAACTGCAGTTGACTGATCAATTATTTCAAAGTTTTCCTTTCATGAGGTTTTATCGAAGAAATACCAACTTAAGTGCTATCTGATTTAAAATTATTGTTTGGTTCAATAGGTCTTATTCATGAACATTTTTGCCCCATCACACACAATTTTTTTAAAAAACCCTTCCTTTGCCCTAATCCCGTGGTCGGTAAACCGCGGCTCACGAGCCACATGCGGCTCTTTGGCCCTTTGAGTGTGGATCTTCCACAAAATACCATGTGCGGGCGCGCACAAACAGTGCGACTGAAACTTCGTGGCCCATGCACAGAAGTCGGTATTTTGTGGAAGAGCCACACTCAAGGGGCCAAAGAGCCGCATGTGGCTCGCAAGCCGCAGTTTGCCGAGCCGCAGTTTGTCGACCACTGCCCGAACCGGTTTGGCTCGGTGGATAGAGCCTTGGCCTGCGGACTGAAGGGTCCCAGGTTTGATTCTGGTCAAGGGCATGTATCTTGGTTGTGGGCACATCCCCAGAAGGGGTTGTGCAGGAGGCAGCTGATCGGTGTTCCTCTCTCATCAACATTTCTAACTCTCTATCCCTCTCTCTTCCTCTCTGTAAAAAATCAATAAAATATATATTTAAAAATAAATAAATAAATAGAATAAAAAACCCTTCCTTTGTCCTTGTCCTCTTCATAGTGTATCACTATGTCAAGTCAAGTATTCTCACCTCCTCTGAGATCTTATATTCAATCATCATCAGCAATATTAGGAAAATAACCCACACGCTAGCCATTCAAAATATGGGTATATTGGCATAGAGAGATATTTGAAAGGACATAACCAAATATGAACAAATGGGTTTTTCAAGGTGGTGAGATTTACATGACTTTTATTATTAATCATAATCATAATAACTGCCAAAACCGGTTTGGCTCAGTGGATAGAGCGTCGGCCTGCGGACTGAAAGGTCCCAGGTTCGATTCCGGTGAAGGGCATGTACCTTGGTTGCAGGCATATCCCCAGTAGGAGATGTGCAGGAGGCAGCTGATCGATGTTTCTCTCTCATCGATGTTTCTAACTCTCTATCTCTCTCCCTTCCTCTCTGTAAAAAATCAATAAAATATATTTAAAAAAAAAAAAAATCATAATCATAATAACTAAAATTTATTGAGCACTTATTATGCACCAGGCGTAATATATATGTAATATACTTTATATTAAAGTATATATGTAATATACTTTACATATATTATCTAATTTAGTATTTATAAAAATATAGTAATAAGACACCATTTTAAACATGAATAAACAGAGGCTTAGAGAAACTAAGTAACTTGCCTAAGATCATATCACTAGTAAGTGGTTGAGTTAGGATTCTAACAAAGTTTATTTGTGTCCAGAGCCTGAATACTTAGCCACTATATTATATGGCTTTTTTAAATTTGCTAAGCTAGTTGATTTTATTTAAATTTGCATAAGCCGAAACCGGTTTGGCTCAGTGGATAGAGCGTCAGCCTGCGGACTGAGAGGTCCCGGGTTCGATTCCGGTCAAGGGCATGTACCTTGGTTGCGGGCACATCCCCCGGTGGGGGATGTGCAGGAGGCAGCTGATCGATGTTTCTCTCTCATCGATGTTTCTAACTCTCTCTATCTCTCTCCCTTCCTCTCTGTGAAAAATCAATAAAATATATTTAAAAAAAAAATAATAAAAATAAATAAATTTGCATAAAACATTATTCAGAAAGCAATAAAAATCTTTTTAACTGAAAATAGGACAAACCTGAAAAAATTTGTGACATAAAAATTACTCAATTCACAATTAAATTACTATTCTAGGTAAGTAAGCCTGAGATTTGAAGACTTTTGTGGGTTGCAGGATCTTTCTTAGGTCTAAAGTATAATAGAAAACAGAAAACATTTTCCATGTTCAAATTATTTCCCAATTCAAAATTTTATTTTAATTAAATTACCTGTCTAATTTCTTCACATTCCTGATTAATTAAACATTCAGATAGTTCAGGAAGGATATCATTTGGATTAATTCTGGTTTTAAATTCTGGTTGCAAACGCCTTAAAAGTGATCTATGTTCCTCCAACTTTTCTATTTTGTGGAAATCCCAGCTTTCAATGGCTTCATAAAGTCCAGAATAACCTGAAAAAAAAAAAAGAGAGAGAGAAAGAGAATTGGGGGCTTTTATGAGACCAACTAAAAAATACTTTGAGATTATTTAATATCAAGAAATCATGTCTGAATGTACAGTGAGAGAACTCAAAAATATCTAAATCTCCTTAGTTATTATGAACTTTCAAAAAGAAAACTCGATATTCATTTTAGGTACACAACATTTTAGATCTTCTAACAATATTTATCATCTCTTGGGAGAAAATACAAAGGATATATGTGAGGTTTTACATTTGATCTTAGTATAAAATCTTCCTTCCAAAGTGCATCCATAGATCCCACCTACAACTCCTAATTTATCTTTCAATGAGCCAAGCCATCATGTTAAGTTTGTCAGTGCAAATTAGTAAAGGCAAACAGAAATATAGATTATAATTCCAGCCCCTTAGGAGATTACCTTCTGTGTTATTCCAAGAAAATAAAACTAAGTATAATGAGAAAATCTGAGGTGGGAAAAAATTACTTCCAATTGTAATAATCCAAGAATGCTTCACTCTAAAGTTCTCTAAAGAATTACCAGGCTTGTCCAATCTTAAGACCCACAACCTTTTTATTAGTATACTAGTGGCACAGTGCACAAAATTTGTGCGGGGGGAGGGGGGTGCCCCTCAGCCCGGCCTGCACCCTTTCCAATCTGGGACCCCACAAAGGATGTCCTACTGTCGGTTTACAGGGATCGGGCCTAAACTGGCAGTCGGACATCCCTCTCACAATCCGGGACTACTGGCTCCTAACCACTCACCTGCCTGCCTGCCTGCCTGATTGCCCCTAACCACTCTGCCTGCTGGCCTGCTCACCCCCAACTGTCCTCTGAGCCAGTGTGCTCACCCCCACTTTCCCTCCCCACTGGCCTGCTCACTCCCAACTGCCCCCCTGCTGGCCTGCTCACTCCAAATTGCGCCCCCACCCCCGCTGTCCTGATCACCTCCAACTGACCCCCACTGATGGCCTCCTTGCCCCCAACTGGCCCCCCTGCTAGTCTGCTTACCCCCAACGGCCCCGCCCCCCATCAGCCTGATCACCCACAACTGCCGTCCCATCCTGGCTTGATCACCCACAACTGCCCTCCTCTCTTGGCCTCTAACCACCTCTACCTCGGCCCCGCCACCATGGCTCTGTCCAGAAGAATGTCTGGAAGGTCTCCTGGAAGGTCTCCCAGTCTAATTAGCATATTACCCTTTTATTAGTATAGAGGCCTGGTGCACGGGTGGGGGCCGGCTGGTTTGCCCTGAAGGGTATCCTGGATCAGGGTGGGGGTCCTGTTGGGGTACCTGGCCAGCCTTGGTGAGGGGCTGATGGCTGTTTGCAGGCTGGCCACAGCCCCTTCAGGGTGGGGGGGTCCCGCTGGGAGGCCTGGCCAGCCCGCTTGAGGGGCTGAGGGCTGTTTTCAGGCTGGCCACGCCCCCCAGAGAGGACCCTCACCCCGTGGGGGTGTGGCCAGCCTGGGTGAGGGGCTGAGGGCCATTTTCAGGCTGCCCACAGCCCCTTCAGGGTGTGGGGGGGTCCTGCTGGGGTGCCTGGCCAGCCTGAGGGGCTGATGCCGTTTTTAGGCTGGGCACGCCCCCCGGCGACCCAAGCTCCCAGCCTCTCCTTCTTTTTCTTTTTTTCAGCGCCTCCTTGAGCAGAGGCCAGGGCAGGCTGGAAGCAGGTATCTGGGATTTATTTATCTTCTATAACTGAAACTTTGTAGCCTTGAACAGAGCTCAGGGCTGGCCAGGGCAGGCGGGAAGCTTGGCTTCCTCCATCGCTGGGGGCAACCCAAGCCTCCTGCTTGCTCCAGCTCTGTGGCTGCTGCCATCTTAGTTGGGTTAATTTGCATACTTGCTCCTGATTGGCTGGTGAGTGTAGCAGAGTAATGGTTAATTTGCATGTTCCTCTTTTATTAGTGTAAATAAATAGCAGAACAACAAAATGAACACATGTAAATCCATTCACAACTTAAGAACTAGAATATTCCATTATATTGCAGGTGTGTGCCTCTTTTTCTCCCACCCTCCTATCTCCTTGCAAATATACTCCTACCCTGTATTTGATGTATCAATCCCTTAATTTTTTTGAGTAGTTGCATGACATATCTTTGATTCTCTAAACAATATGTTTTGTTTAGCTTGCTTGGAACTTTATAATTATATTCTACTAAAAGGAATTTTCTCTGATTTTTAAAACAGTTTAATATTACATTTCTAAGCTTCACCTGTGTTGTTGTCTGTAGCTTTGCTCATACTGAGGACGAAACTGGTCTAGCAAGGCGTGTCAGGCCATAAAAACTGTGAACAATGCACTGCCCTGGGTGGGGGAGGGTTGTTATGCTGTGCCAGGATGTGGCCTGATACCTGGGGGCCTTTCTGCAGGGCCACGAAGGGGGCAGGGGGCCTATCTGCAAGACAAAGACCCCAGTGGGATACATAGACAGGTTCTCTGCATGTTTCTTCACTCTGATTTGGAAATTATTCCCGGAGTCCACTAGTGTTAATAAATGGGGTCCCTCCCTTTCTCTACGAAGCGAGCTTGGTATTTCTTTGGTCTTCTGTAACAATACCTTTTCATTGCAGTATATTCAACCATCATGTGAATATTTTAAAAATTATTTTTCCATTCTCCTCTTCTCAAGGTTGCTTCTAGTTTTGTTTGCTTGCTTGCTTTTGTTAATACAAACAATTATACTATGAACATTTATGTATGAATTTGGGAATATATGTGTAAGAATTTTTTTAGGGTACATACCTAAGAGTAAAACTGTTCAATAGGATACATGGGAGTTGAACTATGGCAAATTGTTTTTCAAAATAGTTTTATTAAGTTACACTCTGTAGGGTGATTTTTTTAAAATTAAATATGTTTTTATTGATTTGAGAGAGAGAGGAAGGGACAGGCAGAGAGTGAGAAACATCCATTGGCTGCCTCCTGCACGCCAAGGATTGAACCCACAACCCAGGCATGTGCCTTGACCAGAAATCAAACTGGCAAGCTTTTGGTGCCTGGGACAACGCACAACCAACTAGCCACACTGGCCAGGGTTGTAGGGTGAGATCTAAGATTATCTGTTATTAAATGTCCTCTTCAAGCCTTAACACTGTTGGACTTATTAAGTTTGGCTATCTACTAGTTATAAAATGTTACCTCATTATGTTCCTAATTTATAATAAAAATTAATTAATTATTTTTATAATAATTATTTTTAGAGAGAGAGGAAGGGAGGATAAAGAGAGAAACATCAATGTGAGACAGAAACATTGACTGGTTGCCTCCCATACACACCCCAACTGGGGATAAAACCATGGGTTTGTGCCCTGACCAGGAATTGAATCTGCGACCCTGCAGTGCATAAGACATTACAACCAACTGAGCCACACTGGCCAGGGCTGAAGTTTTCTTTCTTTTCCTAATTGATTTTAAAGCCTTTTAAAAAACATTCTATATATTAATTCTTTCATCATAATGTATTTTGCGGATATCTTCTCCCAATGTGCTTTTTTTCACTTTATAGTGTGTTTTGACAAACGAATGCTCTTAATATTAATGTCATGGAACTTTTCAATCTTTCTTTTATGGTTAATGCTTGAATATCTTGTTTCAGAAATCTTGCCATAATCCAAGGTCATAAAAATATGATCCTATATTCTCTTGTAAAATTGTTAAAATTTTACCTTTTAGAATTAAATCTTTAATTCTTTTGAATTCATATTGTGTGTGTATATATGAATGGAATGAATTAAGGAACACAAATTTATTTGTATCCGCTTGGATAGGAAAGTTAAGGTTTGTTTGGTTTTTAATCTTACCCTCTTTAAACTATCCTGTTTATAATGGTCCACTGCAATTAATCAAAAAGCCCCTCCTTTCCTAATAATCCTCCTTTCCCAGAGATCTATAATATAACAGGTTTCCATAAATACATGAGCCTAGTTGAAGACTCTATTCTATTTCATTGGTCAGCTGGTTGGTTCTAGGAACAGAGTTGCACTGTCTCAATGCCTACAGCTTTACAATAAAACTTGATATCTCAAAGGGAAAACCCCAGACTATTTAATTCTTCTTTAGAGAGTTACTGATTGTCCTTGGGTCATAATTCTTTCAAATACATTTTAGAATCAGCTTGTCAAACTCATAAAAAAGCATGTAAGATTTTTACTAGAATTGTATTGAATATATAGGTCAATATAGGGAGAGATGACATTTTTATGATATCAAGTTGTCCTCTTCATACACATGGGTATGTATTTCCATTTAAATAGGACTTCTTTAATATCTTTCAATAACATTTTATCATGTTCTCCATTCAGACTTTACCCACCTTTTGCTGGGTTTATTTCTAAATACATGATAACTTTTGTTACTAATATAAATGATACTTCTATTTGCTTCCAGTGGGTGAAAATGCAACTAACTTTTGTATACTATCTTCTATCCAATGAAGATGCTAAATTCTACCATTACTTACAATACTCTGTAGACTCCTTTAGATATTTCAGGTAGACAATTATATTATCTGCCTGAAAATAGTCTTTACATTGCCTCAGATTAAAAGACATGAACTAGACCTGCTGGTATAGCTCAGCAGTTGAGTGTCAACCCAGGGACCAAAAGGTCACTGGTTTGATTCCTGGTCAAGGCACATGCCTGGGTTGAGGACTCAATCCCTAGCAGGGGGCATGCAGAAGGCAGTCAATCGATGATGTTTCTCGTTCATCAATGTTTCTATCACTCTATCCCTCTCTTCTCCCTTCCTCTCTCTCTAAAAATCAATAAAAACACTTTAAAAAAGACTAATTATATGTGGACACCTCAAGATTAATAGCATTTCACTTTTACAGCATTTGGAAACAGTCAAGTAATATACTTTGATTTGTGAGGGAAAAGGATAAACAAACCTGCATGGTGAAGAGCATCCAAAAAGCCACGAAACCAGCCTTCCTCCTGCAGCTCCAATAGGAACTTGAGAAAAAGTGTAGCAGCCTCCATCACACCCTTGTTGTTTTTCTCAGCTTGAATATACTGCACCTCATCTACAGAGAGAAGCAAGAGTGATTCATCAAACTGTAGAACCATTAACCATCGTGTTATTGGTGGCGTGCTCTCTGTGGCAGCCTCTGTAACCTGTGGAAGTAGAGTTCCTGGGATGTTGCAAGAAAATGAATTTTCTGAGACTCTTGAGGGAGGAGGAATGATCTTTATTTCTGTGGAATTGAACCCCTAGATTTCCAATGTCCCATGTCCCTCCTTCCCACCATGGAAAAAGTCCAATCTTGCCTTCAGCAGGCTAGAAATAAGGCCACTGCCCAGAGTCTCCACTTCATATTAAAGCACAGTCCAATCCAGCATCTGGCTAGCTTAGTTTGTGTTCCCAGCTCCAGTCCATTGCATGCTTAAGGCCACATGGTGGGCAAGTGCAGGTCAAAGAGCAAGAGAGCTCAAGAGAGAGAGGAACTCTTTGGGGACTGTAACCAGGAGCTTAACCAATTAACCCTTCAAGACTTCATGTGCTTGCAGTGGCTTCACCCCCTTAGCCAATTATCTTTCTCCCAGGGTAGACTGGCAAACAAGGACCTTCCCTATGACACCCAGACTTCACTGCAGATGTGCTTATCTTCCTCTTTGTTGGGTTCCTTCCCCCAGTGATCTGCAGGGTATGGACAGGTGGTTCCCTGGGAAGCTTGAAGCTGTACTTTCCTGGTGAAGCTGCCCAGATGACCATGCTTATTATGTCTGGCCTCCCCTTTGCTCTCTTCATATTATTAATATTAATAACTAGCTAATTATGACAATAACTGAAAGAAAAGCCTGAACAGGGTTGTCAAAATTTATGAAGTGGAGATGGAAATTGTAACAAAACAGCAATAGAAGGCACAGCAGGAAGGCAGCAAATTCTCTGCTCATTCTTCACCAACCCCGCCATCCTTTCTGGAAATGCTCCTAGTTTGGTATGAAGTCTAGGAGCACACTCTAAGGCAGTCCTAAAGAAAAGGAGTTTATTGGCTTCTGCTCAAGATGGCGGAGGAGGTAAACAATGTGCTCACCTCCTCCCTCGACCACATCAAAATTACAACTAAACTACAGAACCATCACTGAGAATCACCTGAAGTCTAGCTGAAAAGAAGTTCTATAACCAAGGATATACAGAAAAAGCCCCATCAAGGGAGTTGAGAAACAAAACGATTATTATAAAGAAAAGAAGTTTCTTACAGATATACGAAAAAGTCTCCCACAACAAGGGCAAAGTCATGGTAGTTCTGGTTTAGATGGAAGAAAGGCTTCTTCCAACATTTTCATAGTCTCTTGTTCAAAAGTCTGAATTAACTGTAGGACTAAGAGTGTGAGGATAGGACCACTCCATAGCATCAGTAACAATTACAGTGGATTCAGCAAGCAAAGTTAGAAATAAACAGAGATATTTTCATGGTCCTTTTTCTAGGTTCTTGCTAAGACAGTAGGCAGTATGGCAGAAAAGAGAAAGCAAAAAGAGCTAAAGAGAAAAAAAGTGAGGCCAGGTAGCAGGAAAGTACCCACCAGCCAGCAGGTTGTCATACACACCTTGTACACTAACTCCATGTCTGAGGTGGTAATCAAACCGTTGCCTTCATTATGACCTGACATTTGGTAATTTTCCACTTTTCCCCACATTGCCAATGGAATGTAAATCCCAAGGGAGTAAGCCAGATGTCTGGATGGTCAACCATCATATTCTCAGGGATTAGAAGAGAACACAGTAGGTAACAGATATTCAACAAAGGTATGCTGAATGAAAGGAAGGGATGCCTTCCTTCTCTGTCTTAGCAACAATAAAATTCAATGATTTTTAAGAGTTGTGAAACTATCACCATATCTAATTTGGGTACCATTGTAATTAACCTAGTATTAATAACAAGAACAAAGGAGCAAAGAAGGCCAGATATTACAGGCATGTCATTTGGGCAGCTTCACCAGGAAGCTAAAGCTTTACATTCCCCAGGGAGCCACCGATCTGTTCCCCACAGATTGCAGGGGGAAGGGATTGGACAGGGAGAAGGATATACAGACGCATGCCCAGTAAAGTACCCGGGAAGGTACTTGTCTGTCAGTCACACCTGGGAACAGATCATTGGCCAGAGTGGGCATAGCCACTGCAAGAAGGAGGACATTTGGGATAGTTAATTCTCTGAACAAAGAAGCTCTTGTACTCTTGGTTCCTCTTATGCTTTTGGGACTCTGATTGCTCGAGGTGTGCTCCCCAGTATTTGCCCTCATTAGTGTTTCCACTCTCTGACTGAATCCTGACTGATAGAATATACTTGTCACAATTAAGGTTGACCCATAAAATCCACAGCTTCCAAGAGAAAAAACAGGAGATATAGAAACTTTATCAATCTAACAGAAAACAGAAAAAGATGGGGAGAAAACAAAAAGTTTATGGACCCATGTATATGCACTGTAGGGGTGGGAAAGAGATTAACCAGGAACTTATATGCACATATGCATAGCCCATGGACACAGACAGTAGCTGATGAAGGCCTAGGAGGGGCCGGTGTGGGGTGAAGGGGGTCAATGGGAAAAAAAAAACCAAAGGAAATATCTGTAATACTTTCAACAATAAAGATAAATTTAAAAAAAAGAAATGAACAGTAAAGATACAAACCAACTAAATGATAAAAGCTGCCTCTGGTGAGGGACTTGAAATAAAGCCCTATGGTACCTTTAACATTCAAAATGAAGATAATATACATAGTGTTCTTCAGCTTGTTTTTTGTTTTCCTTATCTTTAAAGAAGATTTTTTTTTTTTATTGATTTCAGAGAGGAAGGGAGAGGGAGAGATAGAAACATCAATGATGAGAGAAAATCATTGATCGGCTGCCTCCTGCAGGCCCCACGCTGGGGATTGAGCTTGCAACCCAGGCATGTGCCTTGACCAGGATTTGAACCATGCCCTCCTGGTTCATAGGTCAATGCTTAACCACTGAGCCATACCAGTCAGACTAGAATTTTTAAAGACATTTTACTTATATTTTGGTTATTTTTACTGAGGTTGCATTGTAACTGTAAATTAAATCTAACATATGCATTAAAAACTATCCTGCCTATGCACTCCCACAGCATACTATGGTTTTCCATCAAAGCACTTGCCACACTTTATTACCTATTGTTTATTTAGTCACCTGCCTTCACATATGCACTCTAATCTCAATCAAGGCAGGGACCATTTCTATCTCGTTCACTATGAATTCCTTAGTCCTAACATGATGCTTCCTATTAGGTTATATATGCAGAAATATGGGTAAATTATCTCCAATGCTAGCATAAGGCCTGACACATGAGTTGTTTATTGAATCAATATGAAAGAATGGAATTCACACCAGTTTGTTAGTGTTTCACCCATTCCAGGAAATTCTAAAAGAATGTCTTGCATGTGCTTACAGTCTTCAGGGGCGGAAGCTACTCTGTAGTCACTAGGATGTTATTTTGTGACTTTACTCTGAGCACAACTAGAAAGTGGAGGTTCACTGTTGGTGGTATACTCTCACTCCTCACTCCACAGCCTGTAGTCTGGTTTTGCAGACAATTAGCAGAAAAGTTATCCAACTGCTTTTTAAAAATATATATGTTTTATTGATTTTTTACAGAGAGGAAGGGAGAGGGATAGAGAGTTAGAAACATCAATGAGAGAGAAACATCCATCAGCTGCCTCCTGCACACCCCCTACTGGGGATGTGCCCGCAACTCAGGTACATGCCCTTGACCGGAATCGAACCTGGGACCCTTCAGTCCGCAGGCTGATGCTCCATCCACCCAGCCAAAGCGGTTAGGGCGGTTATCCAAATGCTTTAATGCAATTTCCAAAAACTGACTCACATCAGGAAAGGCATGTAGGCACTTGGAGTCTGAAAAGAAATTGCCAGATCCACTCACCTCAATTCCCTCCCAGTACCATCTCCCTTCTGTTTCCCAAAGTCTGTGCTTACCTCCAGCACAAAGCACTTCAATACAGGGGGGAGGGGGGGCAATGGGGGGGGATAACGACACATATATAATATCTTAATCAATAAAGAAAAAAAATCAGTAAAAAAAACATTATTCACTGTAAAAATAAATAAAATATACCATGAAGTATATTTAAAAAAAAGGCATTTCAATACAAATGTACCTAATGGCCATTATCCATCATCATATGCATCAAAAGCTGAATGGAAACACCTGAATTAAAGCCTAAAGTCATTCAGTCCAAGTCTCCTTCGCACATTTTCAGTTATTTTGGAAGTGACCTGCAGAGTCAGCATGAACTTTCTTGCAGCTCTGAGTGTTTTGTAATCATTTGTGTACATCTGTCCTCACCCGTGTCCCACCCCCAACACCGTGGGCTGCGAAGTATTTAAAGGCAAGGCCTGTATCTTATTTCTGAATCGCTGATGTCAGCACAAAACAGTAGCCATAACTACTAATAGAAATAAATGGACAGCGACTTGTTTCTTCAGCTTTGAATCTAAATAGATGTGTACCCCTAAGTAAGTCATTTCACCTCACTTAGACTCAGTTTCCCCAGTTGGGTCCTCAAGTGTCAGGGCCAGCCTGACAAGGTTGAGCCGGGCTGAGGCAGGGAGATGGGAATTGAGAAAAGAAAGACAGGAAAGCGGGGTCGGGAGGACCCCAGTTCTCTCGATGAACTGAAGCGAGTTTATTAGCTATACAATCCTATTTATACACAACATACTGAATAGGAAGTCTGTCAAGAGGAATGTGTTCTTTGTTTCTCTTAATCTCTAAGGGAGAGATACAGCAGAACAACAAGTTCTCAGTACAGCATATCTCAGTAAATAGTTACAGACTTCTTGGCAAGCTATGAAAGGCTCTCATTCCACAAATGTTACTCCCATTCTACTGATAATCGCTATCCAAACAAGTCTGGGAAAACTGTGTGGATAAGGGTCCCAGCCTTGCTAGCCCCTGCAGGTGCAAGGACCTTGCCAGCTTACATCTGGCCCCCAACACTCAAGGTCACCCTCAAACTCTGACAACCACTAGTCCAGTGGTTCCCAACCTTTTTTTGGCCATGCCCCACCTAAGCATCTCTAAAATCTTGATGCCCGCCCCCGCGACATATAATTCTTATTATTCAAAAAGTGAACTTCTATTCACGTGGAGGAAGCCTAAAAGGCCATTAACTTGGTCTAAACAAGCTTCCAAAGAACATGACATCCATGAAAGAGAAAAATAAAAGAACAAAAGGGCAGCTGAAGTACTGAGGAAGAAATTGTTAAAAAAAAATAATATGAAATGATATGAAAAAATAGCAAATAAAGTTTCAAAACTGGAATGCATAAATATATCACAATATATATTTACATACTTTATATGAGGCCCTTAGAACCACAAGAAATGCAAAAACTTCACTGTTAATAACTCATTCTTGAATTGCCCCCCTTCAAAATCAAATTGCCCCCCTGGGGGCGTGTGCCCCACGTTGGGAACCACTGCTCTAGTCTGAAATGCTGTGGGGATCTTGCCATAAACCCCGCGTTCCCAGCAGTCTACCCCGTGTTGATTAAAAGAAGGGGTAATAAAACCAACGGGAAGCCGAAACCGGTTTGGCTCAGTGGATGGAGCGTCGGCCTGCGGACTGAGGGGTCCCGGGTTCGATTCCGGTCGGGGGCATGTGCCTGGGTTGCGGGCACTTCCCCAGTGGGAGATGTGCAGGAGGCGGCTGATCGATGTTTCTCTCTCATCGATGTTTCTGACTCTCTATCTCTCTCCCTTTCTCTCTGTGAAAAAATCAATAAAATATTTAAAAAAAAAACAAAAAAAAAACCAACGGGAAAACACGTCCTGAACAGGTTTCCTGTCCTAAGGGGGGGCGCCACTGCCGACCACTCACCCTCCTTAAACCAGGGGGCCATGTAGCTCAGGATGTAGGTAGGGTCCAGAATCTTGGTGACATAGTCCCGGAAGGCGTGCAGATTCCGCCGCTCCTCGGCCGTCATGCCTGCAGCTGGGCTCCCGCAAAGGCCCTCCTCACCAGCGCCCCACTTTTAAAGCGCACAGCGAGCAGGAGGCGCTTTTTCAGGATGCCGGCGGGGAGAGGCAGAGCTGCCGTGGAAATCGAAACTGCAACTAGCGGAGAGGGGCAGGGCAACGCCAGGGCGCAGCCTCCCCGCCCCGCCTTCCCCTCGCGGTTTCCTTTCCTCCCCAGCTCCCTGCTTTTCCCACCTGTGGGGACCCGTGGGGATTGCTTTTTTGATTTTCATTTTATCTTATTTTTTTTTGTTTTGCTAATATAGGGGTAAAGTTTAGATTAAATAAAGTGCACAGATTTGAAGGGTACAATTCTGAGTTTCCAGAAACGTTTACAGTGGAACCGCTTCCCCCCGGGTTGTGCGGGCGTATGTTTAACTTCACAGGAAACTGCCCCCTGTTTTCCCAGATCCTTACCACTTGCATTCCCACCGGTAGAGTAAGAGGAAGGAACTAGATACACACCCAGTAAATACACACCCTGGCCAGTTTTCTTGTTTATGTAACTTGGTGTATTGTGGTTCTAATTTTTTACTCCTCGACAATTAATGATGTTGGGCACATTCTCATGTACTTATTGGCCACTTTTTTTTTTTTTTTGGTGTGTGAAGCATTTGCTCCTCGGTTTTGCCTGAGTGGTTTTTGTTAGTATTATGGATTTACAGGCTTATTTATTTATTCTGGAAACAAGCCCATTGTCAGATATATGTATCCCAAATGTCTTCTCGTCTGTGATTTACCGTTTAACTTTCTTAAAGGTGCCTTGAGCAAAAGTTTGTTTTGGTGAAATCCAAACTTCAGTTTTTTCTCTGTGTACTGCTTCTTGTGCCTTCTAATCTTTGCCTACTCCTAGGTCATTAAGGTATTTTGTCTTTTATTTCTTTGACATTTAGGTCTATGATAATTTCAAATTAATTTTGTTGTGCTATGAGGTAGGGGGTCAATGTTTCATTTTTTACTTCTAATTGTTACAGCACAAAGTATTTCATTTGTTGAAAATTTTTTCTGCTCCCATTGAATAGCTTTGGCACCTTTGTAAAAAAAAAAAATCAATTGACTGTATGTATGCAGGTGTATTTTTAACTCGAATTAGTTCCATTTGTCTGTGCGCTGACACTGCTTCATTCTGCTTTGTAAAGACTATACTGGATCTCTGCATTTTGTTATGACATAAGAATAAATGTCAATTTCCCCCGCTTGCCCCCCCCCCCCCCCCACACACACACGCGTGATTAGGATTTTGACCAGGACTGCATTGAACCTATAGATAAACTTTGGGAGAATTGACATTTTAACAACATTGAATTCTAATCTATGAATTTGTTTTCTATACTTTCAGTAGTATTTTAAGTTTTAACAGTACAGGTTTTGCCCTGGCCAGTGTGGTTCAGTTGGTTGGGGTGCTGTCCTGTATACCAAAAGGTGGCCAGTTTGATCCCCGGTGTCAGGGCACATACTGGGTTGGGGTGCATGAGGGAGGTAGCTGATCAATGTTTCTCCCCCTTAACTATTTTATGTTCTTTGATGCTACTCTAAATAGAATTGTTTCTAAGGTTTCATTTTCAAATTGTTTGTTGATAGTAGATAGAAATACAAGTTTTGTGTGTGTTTTTTTTACCTTGTTTTATGCAACACTGCTAAATTCACTTATTGGGTCTAGGAATTGTTCTGTAGATTCCTTAAATTTTCCTAGGTAAATAGTCATGTAACTTGTGAATACATGGTTTTTACTTCTTCCTTTCCAATCTTTTAAAATTTTTTAAAAAATATTTTATTGATTTCAGAGAGGGAGAGGGAAACGGAAACATCAACAATGAGAATCAGTAATCAACTGCTTCCTGCACGCCCCCTACTGGGTATTGAGTCTGCGACCCAGGCATGTGCCCTTGACCAGAATAGAACCCCAGCACCCTCTGTCTGCAGGCCAACTCTATCCACTGAGTCAAACCAGCTAGGGCTCCTTTCCAATCTTTATGTCCTGTATTTTGTTCCCTCATTACACCACCCATGACCTCCAATAACAAGTTGAATTAAAGTGGTGAGGGGGTGACATCCTTATTACTAATTTCAGCGGGGAAATGATCTGTTTCACTTTAATTACAATGTTGGGCATAGGTTTTTCTCAGATGCCCTTTATCAGATTGATATTCTTTTATTCCAGGTTTACTCTGCTGTTATCATAAATGGGTGTTGAATTTTTCAAATTTTTTTAAAATGTATTTTTATTGATTTCAGAGAGGGAGTGATAGAAACATCAATGAAAATCATCCATCAGCCTCCTCCTGCACACTCCTTAATGGGGGTGGAGCCTGGAACCTGGGCATGTGCCCTTGACCCAAATCAAACACGGGACCCTTCAGGTGTGCAGGCTGATGCTCTATCCACTAAGCCAAACCGGCTAGGGCCAAATGTGTTTTTTTGCATCAGTTGAGGTGATCGTATATTAATTAACAAAGTGAATCTCGTTGATTTTTAAAAAATATATATTTATTGATTTTAGAGAGAAAGGGAGAGGGAGACAGAAACATCAATGATGAGAGAGAATCATTGATAGGCTGCCTCCGGCATGCCCCCCACTGGGGATTAAGCCTGCAACCCAGGCATGTGCCCTTGGCCAGAATCGAACCTAGGACCCTTCAGTCCTCAGGCCGACGCTCTATCCACTGAGCCAAACCAACCAGGGCGAATTTCATTGATTCAACCTAATCTCTGGGATAAATCCCATTTGGTCATGATATAGCATTTTTAATTCAATTAGCTATTTTTTTGTGTGTTAATAAGAGATATTGGTCTATTTTTCTTATAATGTAAGAATTATGCTGGTCAAGAGTGTAATACTTCTTAAATGTTTAAGAGAATTCACAACGAAACTATTTGGCTTGGAGTTTTCTTTGAAGATACCTTGATTCAATTTCTTTACTAGATATACAGCAATTCTGATTTTAAATTTTATCAAGTCAGTTTTGGTAAGTTGTGCTTTTTAAGGAATTTGACCATTTCCTCTAAATTATTAAATTTACTGGCATAGTTATTTTTATATTCCTACTGATCAAAAAATCAGTGTTGCCAAGAATAATTTTTATTTTTTCAAAAAATCAACTTTGACTTTGATACTTTAAAAAAATTATTTTATTTTCTATTTAATACATTTCTAATCATTATTCTTTTCTCTTACTTCCTTTGGGTTTGCTTTTACTAGTTTGTTAAGGTGTAAGTTTAGATGACCAATTTTATACATTTTTCTTTCCAATATAAGTATTTGAGGCTATAAATTTCCCTTCTCAGCTGAGTTCTAGCATCCCCATCACTTGATATTATGCTGTTTTTAATGTCATTCCTTTTTAGTGTATATTATTCCTGTGATTTCTTCTTTAACCTATGAGTTAAAATTATAGAAGTTGTTTATTTTTCAAATATTGGGAATTTCCTAAACATTTGAGGGTTATTGACTTCTGATTTTAGTGTTGAGATGTTCATTATGTTTTAAGACTTTGATCTTTTGAAATTTATTGAAACTTGTTTTATAGCCCAGCATATAGACTGGATCATCATTTAAGAATATTTATGTTGCAGTTCTTGGGTAATGCTTTATAAATATCAATTAGGTTAAGTTACAGTTGGCTCTAGTCGCCTACATTAATACTTACTTTCTGTCTACTTGTTCTGTCAAGTACTGACAGGGGGTGTTAAAATCTCCAACTATGGATATTTATTTGTCCATTTGTCCCGTTCGTCCTATTGGTTTTTGCACCATAATTTGATAGCTGTTATTAGATGCATAACATTTAGGGGTGTGATGGTACCATGTATTAAGATGGGGTTTCATTGTGTTTAACTGAAAACATCATGTAAAATCAGAATGTGGAATAAAATAGCATTAAGTTTGGAATACTTAAGAAAAACTACAGTCATTTTATAATTTTAAAATATAGTCCTTGGTCAACTAGTCTTCCCATAATTTGTCATCAATTTCTGAACTTATTAAAAATTGTCAAATCAATGTTAGATTCTTGTCATTTTAAACCAGTTTCCTACTGCCCTTAAGACAAACACAAACTCTACACATGGCCTACAAAGCTTGGCCCCAAAGTCTTTGGCCTTTAGCTAGCCCAGTCTTGGACTACTTCAGGCTTCCCTTTTGCCTTTGGACCTTTGCACATCTTTTCCTTTCATAACAACTCCATGTCTACCTATTTACTGGATTTCAGTTCAACCATCACTTCCACTTGAGAGTAGAGCCCTATTGTATGCTTTTAGAGCAAATTATACTTTCTCACCAGAGAACTTAGTTATATGTCATCTGTTTTGTTCTATCACTGAGTCCCTAGTACAGAACCCATCACACAACAAGTATTCCAATTTCTGTTAACAATGAATGAACATGGTAGCAAGGTAAATTTGAAGGCTAAGTTTAGATTTAATCCAAGTTCTGCTGTTCACTGGCAATCCTACATCACACTATAGATGTAGAGCAATTTTTATCTCTAAAACTGGATAAAACATAAACACAGTCACTTTGTGTAAAAGAACTACCAATGTAAAAGTCTGGCAAGGGTTTTTGTTTGTTTTTAGTAAGCTAAATGCCACATAACTGCATTTTTCTGTAGAAAGCAAATATTATACTTTTCACAATCAGGTTAAATAACTAAAATAAAATTGTGAAATGCATCTCACCTGAAATTCAGAATTTATAACACAAGTATATCCTTAATTACTTTTTAGTAAAATAGTTTGACTTAAAAATTTATCAGCCACTCACTATATAGGAAAATTTCTAGATTTTAAAGTGTTACTGTTTATTTTTTTCTTTCGTTGATTATACACTTTTTTACTGGCAGATCAGATAAACAAGTATATAAAAGAAATATTTAAACTATTCTTTTGGCAGAGGATAAACTGCAGATTAAATGTCTCAATTTAACCTTAAGTAATGGTTTGGAATCATACAAATTTTTAAGAAGAAAAATAAAGACTATCTAAACAGATTCTCTTAGTTTATAACACACTTCCAGAATAACTCTCAGAAAAAAAAATTCAAAAATACTCTACTTTAAAATTGTCAATACCATATGGCTTTATGAAATAACTTCTAAAAT